GTGAGTAAACAAAGAAACATCCGCGTGTCATATTCAAAACTGTTAAATTATGAGTCTTTGGAGCCTCTGCTGGTGGGCACCCCGCCAGGCTGTGGGGTGTTGGGGGAGATCCCCATAGCAGGAGAAAGGAGCCGACAAAATTATTCTGCATGCACAACAAGGCTGGATGGAGGGTATTTGAGTGTTACAAAGAGAGAGGGTCTGGTTAGAGGGTGGAGAGAAGTAGAGAAGGGAGGTTTGGGAGGGAAGGGGGCTTTATTGGGTTGAGTGAGCCTTTGGGGCAAGGGATGTTGAAAGAGGATTTTTAGAAAGTTTTGCCGTGTCTGAACCAATTCTTCTCCATTTTAAAAATAAAGGCTTGCATTATTGTCAAGCCTTTTGGAACCAGATTTGTGTTTCTTTTGAATACGAAATGACAGGGTGACGGGTTCCCACCCAGAGGCTCTAAAGGCTCATAATTTGTGTCATGAATTGTGACCTTGCTCTGGAGAAAAAGGCTGCTGTGAAGGACAGTGGGGGCGTGGGCGGGACAATTCACACTGGAAAACTGATCCTTAGGCTGGGTCCCAAAGAATGACAAACATCCATGAGGAAGGGATGGGCAAGAGCTGCTCCAAGCAGAGGGACAGCAAGTGCTAAGGCCTGAGGCCGGACAGGAAATGGCAGCTTGCTGGAGGAGCTTTCACTAGTTTAATTGCTTACTCCCTGAGGCTTAACAAAATGACATTTGAAATGATACGCAGCATTATTAAGCTACAGTGTTAATAGGCAGAGCTCATAAGAGACTAGGATTTCATTACTTTTCCACAGTCAGACCAAGTTTTCTGTGTTTACCTCATTCACAGACTTCTTCATGCCTCTGATCAGTGTGAGGTCCACCACTTCCCTTTGTCACACACACACAGACCCTCATCCTTTACACACAGGCCCTGAGGCCGTCCCCAACCCCACCCTCAGCCCCAGCACTGGGCTCCCAGGGCCCTGTCTCCATCCTGTCAACCCTGGTGTCTCTGGATGACAGGTCCTTCTTGTCCCTCAACCCCAAGTGTCCTGGAAGCCAAAGAGATGGATGCAGCCCATGTGTGAAACCCAGTACAGTCTGCTTTGAGAATGACCTGGGATCTCTGGGGTGTGTGTGTGTGTGTGTGTGTGTGTGTGAGGGATGTGTGTGGTGTATAATGTGTGGTGTGTGTGTGTGTGTGTATGGTGTGTGTGTGAGGTGTGTGTGTGGTGTATAGTGTGTGGTGTGTGTGAGGTGTGTGTGTGGTGTATAATGTGTGGTGTGTGTGTGGTGTGTGTGATGTGTATGGTATATGTGAAGGGTTGTGTGGTGTGTGTGAGGGGTGTGTGTGTGTGTGGTGTGTAGGCGGTGTATAGTGTGTGGTGTGTGGTGCATGTGTGAGGTGTGTGTGTGGTGTGCATGTATGTGTATGTGGTGAGGGCCAGAGATCAGGTGTGGTGAAAATGGGCCCTGAATCCTGGCAGGGACAGGAGAAGGATGGAGCCAGGGCTTGACTCCCTCAGAGGTGTCTCCAAACACCCCCAAAGGTAAAGACGTGTGAACATCCACTTCTGGGATCTTGTCTGAAGTGGCTCACTGGACTGTGTATCCTACTCCCAAGCTTTGATGAAAGTACAGCTTTTCCAACCCCTCCCCAAGCATCATGTAAAACTGAGGTTCTGACTGTGGTTTCCTGTGCCCCTTGTCCACCACTGTGTACCCCCAGGGCCTGTGCACCCCAGTTTGAGATGCCTAGGGCCAAGTGGAGGAGGGCAGACTGTGCCACAGACTTGGGCTCCCCTGAGGACCGAACACCAGGAGAGCCCTCTCCGACTCTGAGGATAGCCCTGGGAGCCTTGAGGGGCAGGTACCTACCCCTCTGAGGTGACAAGGCACATCATGGACTGTGTTCTGATACTGGCTGGGTGCCCATCCCCAGGGCTGCAGGGGAAGCAAGAAGCAGGCAAATGGCCTTGCCCTCAATGAGGGCCGCTGTGGAGCACCGGACCCCCGTGGTGGGCTAAATCACAGCCCCCCTAATATGCCCATGTCCTAATCCCTAGAACCTGTGAGTGCATTACCTTCCATGGCAGAAGGACTCTGCAGCTGTGATTAAGTGAAAGGTCTTTCGATGGGAGATTAGCCTGGAATCTTCAATGGGCCTGATGTAATCACAACGATCCTTCTAAGAGGGACATCGGGGGAGTCAGTCAGAGGAGAAGTCGATGTGATGATGGAAACAGAGACTGGGCTGATGCCCTTTGAAGACGGAGAAAGGGGCCACAAGCCCAGGATACAGGCATCCACTAGAAGCTGGAAAAGGCAAGGAAACAGATTCTTCCCTTGGAGTCTTGACTTGAGCGGAATCAGAATCTGATTTCGGACTTCTGACCTCCAGAACTGTGAGAGAATAAATTAGTGTTGTTTTAAGCCACTACATTTTTGCCCATTTGTTCCAGCAGCAATAGGCAACTCATATAGGACCCCATGACACTGGCTTTGGGAACACACACACACTGGGTGTGAATCGGTGGCTACTGGCTGTGGGACCTGGGGCCCGTGACTCACCCCCTGGGCACCTTGGCTTTCTTTCCCATGAATGAGGTGAGAATGGCATCCACCTCCTAGGGCTGTTGGTGGGGAGAGAATGAGACAATTCCATAAAGGACTGGAGCCGGCACACAGCTGGTGCTCAATAAATGACAGCCCAAAGAGATGAAATCTGCTTGGGGAAATAGAGACACAAAAGCCTGAAGAAGAATAGATTGGAACTGAGTGATGTGGACTAGTGCTTCTCATGCTGAAATATGCAGAGGAACTGGCAGAGAGCTTGTTAAAAGGCAGGTTCTGACTCAGTGGTGTGGGGCCTGGGACCCTGCCTTCCTAACAGAATGTCCCCCAAATGACAAAAGAACATGAAGTCAATTCGGTTGATTGCTAAACACAAGTCACGGTTCTATTTTGTTTTAAAAAAACAACCCTAATTTCTCGTAAAATATAAAGTAAGAACAAAGAAAATCCAGGGGGACCATCTTGTGCAGAAACCTGCCATCAGAGCTGAGGGTCCCCCAGTCCCTGGATGCCTGTGCCAGAGAGATTGCTGTGTCCAGCCACAGCCATCAAAGCTGGACAGGCTTACAGACCCTACTGTCCAATCGACCTGTTTATAGTGTTATCATGGAAGGCTTCTAGAGAGCTCTAAGAGAGGGGTGCTCTGGGAGTTGAACTTGAAGGAACGGAAGGGGTTGAAAAGAATGGGCCAGGCTGCTCCGGATGGAACTGGCTGTGTGGTGCAGTGGGATTGAATCCAGGCTCTACCACTTACTGTGACCTCGGCAACTTACTGACCCTCTCTGAGCCTCAGTTTCCCCACCCATTGACTGGGGATGACAATGCCTGTCTTGCAGATTGTTGTGGGGAGTAAGTGAGATAACGAATGGAAAATCCCTGGCAGATTATAGGAGCAGTGAGGGCTGGGGAAGCCTCCTAGGGGAAGCCTCATAGGACCTTCTGGGCTCACCTGGGAACACTGGATGGGTGTGGCCCAGCTTGGGCCATGACCACTGGTTGGCTGGCGTGGCCAACCTTCTGTCAGAGTCACTCCACTTCCCAAGGGTCTCTCCAATGCCAGCTAAGGGTCACTCAGGTCTCACCTCCAGCCTCTCCAGGGGAAGCTGGGAGGGGTGGACAGTCTCCAGGCAGCAGTGGCTGCAGGGGGATGGTAATAAATCAGCAGCCACTTTGCTCTGCTGACCCAGGGCCATGGACATCAAGGGTGGCGGCTCGGCAGCTGTGCCAGCCAATTGCTCCTTGGCACCCCTGGTTCCATCCATCTGGGAGGCCAGGATTTGGAGAGCGATGCCTGCCGTCTGTCCACTTTGACTCTGTTAAAGAGCCAAAAAAAAAAAAAGAAGACCCAACCCACTGCTGTTAATTCTAACTCGGCAATCCTATAGGACAGAGTAGACTGCCCCATAGAGTTTCCAGTGAGTGCCTGGTGGATTCAAACTGCTGACCTTTTGGTTAGTAGCCGTAGCACTTAACCACTACGCCACCACAGTTTCCCCATTAAAGAGCAGTGGCTCTTAAGTCAGACTGCCTGGGTTAGAATCCCGGCTCCGACGTTTACTGGTGTGAGCCTGGGAGAGTTACTTACCCTTTCTGTGCTTCACTGCCTTCCCTGTGAAATGGTGCTGGTAAAATGGTGCCGATAGTACCCACTTCACAGGGCTGTTCAGGAGACAAAACGAGACAACTCACACAAAGTGCTCGGCCCAGCTATTATCATTAAGTTATTTTTCAATGCCCATTCCAAATACCCCCTTCTCAACGAAGCCTTCCTGAACTACACCTCATGGACCAAAAGAAGTTCTTCGGTTGATCTGGCAGAAATATACTGACTGCACCTTTCAGAGCTCTGCTAGCTTCTTGCCTCTGAGCAGAGATACCTGGGACCCTAAAAACGAAAACCCGTTGCTGTCGAGTCAATTCCGACTCATAGCGACCCAGTCGGAATCGACTCGACCGCAGCCGGCTTGGTTTTGCGTGGGACGTGACCATCCCTAAATCCAAAGAGACTGTAAATGCCTTGAGGTGTAAAAGGCAAGGACACCTGAGCATCCAAGGGTCTGAAGTGCGACCCATCCTGATGTGGTTCACAGATATCTTTGTGCTTGTATGTGTCTTTGCAAATCTGCTGTTTTTGCATGCATGCCTTTTTAGTATCTTTATTTGTATTGTAAGGCTCTGAGCCGAGGGCAGGTTGGGGGAGCAGGAGGAGGGACCTGCAGCCTGGTCGGGGGTAGGGAGGGGGCAGAAGGCCGCAGCAGCCGCGCTCAGATCTGGAGCGAAGGGCCGAGGCGGGGGCGAGAGGCCTCCAGGAGCCCGCCCGCGGCCGCCTCCGACACCCCGACGCTCCCGGGAGCCTCCCCAGGGGCCCATCTTGGCAGACGCGCAACTAGCGCGGGGGCAGAAGCGCGCGGGGCTGCCGTGCGGCTGGATGGAGGAGGAGCTGGCGTGGGAGACCGACGGCCGTGGCTTCTACGCCACTGGCTGCGCGGGGCCGGGGCGAGGGCGGCCGAGTGGGCCCCCACGTCCCCGCGGAGGCGACGTAGGGTGCGGTTGGCGCCGTTCGCATGGCTACCTCCGTCTTGGCGCCGAGCGGAGCGCGCCCAGGACCTTGGCCGCGCGTCTGGGGCTCGAGGAAGCCGCCCGCCTGGCAGGCGAGAGAGAAGCTGTGGCCTAGGAGATATTAGCTAGAAATATTAATGGTAATTGTTGGTGTTGTGGTGCCGTCAAGTCGATTCCATCTCATAGTGACCGTATAGGACACAGTAGTCCTGCCCCATGGGTTTCCTAGGCTATAATCTTCACGGGAGCAGATCGCCAGGTCTGTTCTCCCTCAGAACGGCTCGTGGGTTGGAACCGCTCACCTTTGGGTTAGCAGCCGGTTAGCAGCCAAGTGTTTAACGATTGCGCCACCAAGGCTCCTTAATAACGGTAATAATAATAAGAAGAAATCAGACCTGTTGCTGTGGAGTCAATTCCGACTAGTGACCCCATGAGACAGAGTCGAGCTGCCTAGGGTTTCCTGGCAGGTTGCTGGGGCTTTCTCCCATGGAGCTGCTGGGTGGGTTCAAACCCCAGCCTTTCGGTTAACAGCTGAGCGCTTAACCACTTTGCCACCCAGGCCCCTTAATACTGGTGATAGTAATCCTTTATTGAGTGTGCACTTTGGGTACTGGGCCCTGAGCCAGGATAGGCACATTATTTGATCTTCACAGCAGCCCTGTAGGTAGGACCTGTCGTTATCCCCATTTTGCGGATGAGAAAGCTGAGGCACAGGGTGGTTAAGTTGTCCAAGGTCACACAGTCATCAAGTGGTAGATATATGAAGGCTCCAGCTCCCCTGGAATGTCAGGGCTGGATGGAGAGTGGAGGCCGTATCGGATGGGGAAACTGAGACCCAGAGGAGAGGAGCTGTGGTGTGCTGCCGGCGGGGTGAGAGCACTCAGGTTGCCCTCAGAGCCTTGCTCAAGGAGTGTGCCCGGGGCCAGGCCCTTGAGGCCAGGCAGCAGCATCTGGTGAGAGCATCAGCTGGCCTGCAGGGGCTGCCTGGGAGAGGGCAGAGGATTGTGCCAGGTCTTTACTGCCAGTCCTCAATCCTGCAGCTCTGGCTAAGCCCTGGCCACTGAACACAGGGGCTCACCCCTTAGTGCAGCTCACAGGGTACTTTCCAGACCTAGAGTGTGCGAAATGCTGAAGCAAACTGTGTCTAGTCAGCTGAGGGACAGTGGGGTGGGGGGCTCAATCAAGGTGATAACTATTTCAGAGGGGGCTCAGGGTTCTGCCCGGGGCAGAGGATGCCCCGAGTGAGGTCCTTAAAGGAAGTGCAGCAGTGGAGCATTGGGGTGTGTGGGAGGGAATTCTGGAGACGACCCGACCCAGTGTGGCCAGAGGCTCGGAGGCCAGAGAGTGCAGCGTGTATCCAGTGTGGCTGGAAAGTGGGGGCACGGGGTGAGGGTGGTGGGAAGAGATGAGTTGGGATTTGGTTTCATTTTCCTGAGAGCTTTTCTGGCCTGACTCTGGGAAGGGTCTGTTTGCTCCTCATTCTGACTCTTGGTGTTTGCCAGCGCAGCCCAGACCACTGCCCCAGGCTTCTGCTAAGACAGCGGGTACAGAGCTGGACGGGACCTCTGCTGTTCTTGCCAGTTGGCATTGAGCCGGCTCCGGATCCTGGCCACTTTATGTATACAGAAGGAAACATTGCCCAGCTCTTCTCGACATTCACCATTGTTGGTATGTTTGAATCCATTGTTTTGGCCACTGTGACAATTCATCTCATTGAGGGTTTCCCTCGTTGTCGCTGACCCTTTTTACCAAACATGATGTCCTTTTCCAGCGACTGGTCTTTCCTGATGGGACGCTCAAAGTAAGCGAGCTGAAGACCTACACAGACACCTTTCTTCCTTTCTTCACCCTCCGCAGTTTCATAGCTGAAGAAGCTGAGACCCCCCCCACGCCCGCCCACACACACAAGGGAGATGTGACTAGTCCAGGGTCCTGCTGCTGGAAAGAGGCAGAGTGGGTACTAAAACCCACGCCTCTCTAAGCTCACACCTGAAGTGCCAGGTGCCCAAACCTGGGTGGTGGAGATTTTCAGACAAGAGGTTAAGGAAAGAAAAGCTCAGCCCTCAGTGCTCGCTGGAGACACTTTGGATCTGAGATGAGGCCTCCCAGAGCCTGTTTTGTACCTTGTGAAGGCCCACTCCTCTCCCACGGGGAAGGCAGACCCCTTTTCGGATGGGGAGGGTGGAGCTATCGGCGGGAACCACACTTGGAAGGATGTTTCTCTGGGGCACTCTCCCATCCCTGAAATATTGGTATGAAGCTGCCTCCCCTGCAGAGCCTTTTTCCTGCCATTTACCTGAGCTTGTGGTTTGATTTCCCAACGGTCTTTGTTGTTGTTGTGAGGTGCCATCGAGGCAGTTCTGACTCATAGCGGCCCCATGTACAACAGAACGAAACACTGCCCGGTCCTGTGCCATCCTCACAATCGTTGTTACGCTTGAGCCCATTGTTGCAGCCACTGTGTCAATCCATCTTGTTGAGGGTCTTCCTCTTTTTTGCTGACCATCTGTTTTACCAAGCATGATGTCCTTCTCCAGGGACTGGTCCCTTCTGATAACATGTCCAAAGTATATGAGACAAAGTCTACCATCCTCGCTTCTAATGAGCATTCTGGCTGTGCTTCTTCCAAGACAAATTGTTCATTCTTCCGGCAGTCTATGGTATATTCAGTATTCTTCGCAAACACCGTAATTCAAAGGCATCAAATTCAAAGGGGCTAGTGAGTCTTAATTGGGGCAGCATCTCACAGTTCACAGGCCCCTGAAGAGATTTAATGATTCATGTATCACGAATTCATTTGACAAAATATGTGCCAGGGACTGAATTGAAGGAATACAGCAGTGAACAAATCAGACAAAAATCCCTCCCTTTGCAGGGCTTATATTGTAATGGGGAAAGAATTTCAGTAAACCTAATAAGCAGGTAAATATTTCCGTGACAATGGTGATGGGTGCTATGGAGAAAAACGACGCCGGGAAGGAGACAGGGAGGCGCTGTCCCTCCTGGGGCTTCCCTGGCTCAGAGGACCCTGAGTGAAGGGGACCCCATCACCTGTAGTTCTTCGGCTACTAGAATTTATTCCCTGACTCTTTGCCTTGGAGGAATAATAGTGATGACGATGATGATGTGGGCACTGTGTGCCAGACACCGTGCTAGGGACTTTTCATATCTTATTTACAATAACCCTGCAGTGCAGCTCACATCCCTGTTTTGCAGATGAGGAAACTGAGGCCTGGGACAATTAAGTAACCTAAATGCTCAGCCAGAGCTGAACCCAGGACTGCATGATTGCCCTGGGGAAGCAGCTCTAAGGTCCACAGGTTGTGTCCACGAGGCCCCAGAAAGCCCCAAGACCCTCTCCCACATTGGGAAGGCCTGTCACCTCAACATGCCCTAACCTTCCCTGACAAGACACTGGCCACCTGTGCCCGGATGCACAGAGGGGCTGGATCCAGGCATTCCTACTGGACCAGACACGCAGGATGTGAGCTTGGTAGCAGTAAAACAAGATTACCTGCCCTGTGATGACCGTATAAAGGGCCAGCAAATACGTGTCCCCTGGGGTGGTGTGTCTGAGCCCTTCTGGAGGGATAGGCATCCGTTAGTGCTGGGGATTATTAGTGTCACTCAGAGAAGCAGAGTTTTGTGGATTCCTCCCTGTGCCCAGCTTTGGGCCTACTGTGAGCTGTGGGTGGGTCAGGAGGGGTCAGGCACGGCGAGGGCGCCCAAGGAGCTCACGGTCTAGGCAAGGAGACTGGCATCCTCATGAGGCAAGAGCAGTCAGCTGATGGCGGCCCGGGGGTCCAGTGGAATGAGCCCTACACCAGGTTACCAGTCCAGGTCCTCCTAGTCCACCCACCTTCCTGGAGTGCTACATTTGAACCTTTGTCTCCACTCTATCAACGTCTGCTATATTCGTCTCATTTCTTAGTAACCATCTAAAAATCTCTGTCCTGCTGGGTAAGTTCTTTCCCCATTGCCTCTCCCCATTCTCCCATGAGTCACCCTTGTTTCTTGCATCTCTAAGACCCACGTGGGGAAGCTGTGCCAACAGATCTGACAAGGCTTCTCAGATTGTTGTTTTGTCTCACAGGAAGGAGCAAGGTCACATGGGGTGCCTGTGGAGAACGGGCTCCTTTGATTACCATATCTGCTGTGACCCGTGGAAGGGGCATACTCATTGAATGAATATCCTAATCACCATAAAGCCATTACAGCATTGCTTGCGTAAGCAGCACATCAGCTGCTTCCTCTGGAGTGTTCCATTGGGTATTTAGAGAGGGAGGGGGGCAGTTTCCCTTCTCAGGGTAAACAAATCTCACTGCAAGTTTTATGCATTCCACCAGGCTGGCTGTCCCCTCTGGGGTAACCTGCTGTGTAACTGGATCTTGTATTGTCATTTGTGACTGTTTTATAGTGCGCTGTGGATCTTGCATCAACCCAAACCTACTGTTCCATTCTGCAGCACCAAAACTAAAGACCAAATCTGTTGCTGTGGAGTGGATTCTGACCCATAGCGACCCTATAAGACAGAGAGGAACTGCCCCGTAGAGTTTCCAAGGAGCGGCTGGTGGACTTGAACTGCTGACCTTTTGGTTAGCAGCTGAGCTCTTGACCACTGCACCACTGGGGCCCCATATTAAAGGCACTTCTGCTAAATTAGTCGCTCCCACCACTCATTTTAGTAATGGTTCCTCAGGAGGCTGACGATACGATCAACAAATTGAAGCAACTCCTTTGCACTATACGCCCTGGCTTCAGTAGTTTCTTGGTTTTGCCCATTCCCCTTCAGGACTACCTTCTTGGTGACCAATGGTCATAGGGGTACTTCCTGTTGTTCTGACGCGGTTTTTCCTTTCTGGGTCGGCCGTGAGGTCAGTCCAGAGGTTGTAGCTCCCACCGGCCTGGATCTGGACTTGGCTCAGTGCTAAAATCCACTCCCACATTCTTTTCCTGCCGTGGCAGCTGTTACTGATAACAGAAACCGAGGACTTGTGTGTCTGGCCCCTTCCTTATCACTGTGTTTCCATATGCATCCAACTAGCCAATTCCTCAGGAGTTAGAGCCACCACTTCTACTTGCCATGAATAGCTTGTGCCTTGGGCAACTGATTATGACATAACGGTTGCTACAGTCTGTGGGTGTTTTTAATCCCTTCAGGAAACCAAAGGTTTCTTATTCTCCTGTTTATCCCCTTTTTTCCAAAACCACATGTTCCAGTGAGTCTGGGCCATTGCAGCGAAACCCATCATTCTGACACCAAGTAAATGAGTAATTTCTTCTATAAGGATCAGCTCAAAGCCGATTCCTATGAGGTGGAGGTTAAAGATGTCCCAAAAGGCGAACTTTTCCAGACTGTTGTCCCGCTCCATCATCTCTAACATCAACTACTCCTCCTCCCCTCAGTACTCTCCCTCTGGTCTTTGGGTTCCGTAACTTGCTATAGTGTCTCACAGAACTCATTAACTGTATCAAGGCCCCCTCAGGGGCTGACGAACTCAAACTGGCAAGACCACAGGCTTCCTGTAGGAAGCTGGCGAATCAGGTCAGACGATAGGCTGCTCGCCCATGGGACTGCAGAAGCTGGGCAAATCCCAGAATTGGCAGGTCAGATGGCAGGCTGCTGGCTCAAGTCCCAAGAACCAGAGGTCAGACAATGACCAGCTGGATGCAGGATCCAGATGCAGAGAGAGAGTCCTGCCAGAGCACGCACATATGTACATCTGATGCCCGCCGCTACCCAGGGAAGGGCATGACTTGAGTAAGGGTGGGACTTGAGTCATGCCCTCCTGCAAGGCTGTGACTCAAGATACACCCCACACTAATCCTGCCTATTAACATATAGAGATTAGGATTTACAACAGGTAAAATGGAGGATAATAAGGATAATTACATCACATCACAAAATGGAGGACAGCCACACAATACTGGGAGTCATGGACTAGCCAAGCCAGCACACAACACCAACCACCACACCCCGTTAGGGTTCCACACACTTTATTTGCATGGTCCCACCCAGTCATTGTGTGGGAGTCACAAAGACTATGGCTAGATGGGCCGTATTAAGTAACTCATGGCACCGCGGCCACAAACCCACTGTGTGACTGCGTTAGTTTCCTGTGGCTGTGAGGCAAGCAGCCTCAGAGCCCAACCCTTCTCAGAGATACCTGCTCTGGCTTATCCTCCTACACCGAACAGAATAGGCCACACATTCTTCTGAAATTGTCCTTGACAAGATAACTACAGAACAGGCCATAGATGGCCTCAACCTGCCTCTAGGAAGAGACTTAACATGCTAATGAAGGAAAATCGACCTCTTCCTCCATCCTGGAGAATCGAACCCTTGTCTAAAGAAAATGCCTACTCATCCCCAAGCTCTGAATGCCTGCGGGAAGGTCAATCCTGAATATTCACGACGAATTTGCATTTCCTTGTCTGCTCTCTGTAAAAGCCACCTCCCCAAGCTGCCTGTGAGCAGTCTTGGAGGTAGCAGCCCCGATTGCTCCTTTCCTTGCACAAAGAAATAAAGGTGTATTTCTGGATCTCCCACCTCGGCCTCTTGTTTACTGGCTGTAGCAAGTCACACCAAGCAGAACCTGGGGTTTCCGCCCGGCAACTGCTGCCATAACAATGTGCCACAAACTGGGTGGCATAAAACAATGGAAATTGATTCTTTCACAGTTCTTGAGGCCAGAAGTCCTAAATCAAGATGTCAGGAGGTCCATGTTCCCTCCGATGGCTCTAGGGAAAATTTATTCCTTGCCTCATCCCGCTCCTGGTGGCCCTGGCATTCCTTGGCTTGTGGCAGCATAACTCCACCTTCTGCCTCCATCCTCACGTGGCCTTCTTCTCTGTGTGTCTCTGTGTGCCCTCACCTCTTTTATAAGGACACTGGCTGTTATTGATTGAATGTGTGTCAAATTGGCTAGGCCATGATTCACAGTATTGTGTGGTTGTCCTCCATCCCGTGATCTGATGCAATTATCCTATGTATTGTAAATCCTCACCTCTATGATGTTAATGAGGCAGGATTAGAGACAGTTGTGTTAATGAGGTAGGAAACAATCTACAGGATTAGGTTATATCTTGAGTCAATCTCTTATGAGATAGAAAAGAGAGAAGCAACAGAGAGATGAGGGACCAAGAATGAATAGCCAGGAGTAGAGCACGTCCTTTGGACCTGGGGTCCCTGCACTGAGGAGGTTCTAGATCAGGGGAAGATTGATGACAAGGACCTTCCCCCAGAGCCGACAGAGAGAGAAAGCCGTCCCCTGGAGCTGGCACCCTGAATTCGAACTTCTAGCCTCCGAAACTGTGAGAGAATAAATTTCTGTTTGTTAAAGCCACCCACGTGTGGTATTTCTGTTACAGCAGCCCTAGATCACTAAGACACCAGCCACTGGATTTAGGGCCACTCCAGTCTAGTATGACCCCATCTTAACTAAATCTGCAAAGACCCTATTTCCAAACAAGATCACATTCATGGGTTCTGGGTAGACATGAATTTTTAGGGGACATTATTCTGCCAACTACAGTGACCCCTGAGCCCACTTGCCTGCAACAGGGGGCTGGCGGGGGAAGCTCTGAGGTTTCTTCTCTCTGAGACTATGAAATGAAGGTGCAGTGGTGAGGGGTGCAGAGAGAGAGACCACGGAGAAGGCAAATCAGGGTGGGCCCCATGGAGGAGGCGAGACCTGGCAAGGATTTGAGGGTGTGGGGAGACAATGAGGTGGAGGAGTGGTGTGCACAAAGCCGTAGAAGTGGGGTGAACGTGCCTTCTCTGTCCTTGCCTAGGGCTGACACAGTGGGTGGCTGAGGAAATCCTGGCGCCCTTCTACACTGGGCAGAGCTCTGGAAAAGGTAGTGATTGACTCCAAACCAAAACAACCAAACCAGTTGCCGTGAGTCGACTCTGACTCGTGGTGACCCCAAGTATTGCAGAGTAGAACTACACGTCATAGGGTTTTCAAGGCTGTGAGCTTTAGGAAGCAGATCACCAGACCTTTCTTCTGAGGTGCGTCTGGGTGGGTTTGAAACCACCAACATTTGGGTTAGTAACCAAGTGCTTAACTGTTTGCAACACCCAGGGACTCATTGTCGAATCCCAAGGGAATGAATTCCATTCCCTTCGCAGAGGGTGGCTCTTGGGGAGGGGACATGAGAACACTGGATATGGGCACTCTGGTGGGGGCAAGGTGCGCACGCCTGGGCTGCTATGCTCGGTCTTCAGAGCTTGGTCGTGGTTGTGTGGAGGTACGAGGAGTCAGTAAGGAAAAGCAGCCTATCTGGGGCTGTCCCCGACCTAGAGTGGCAGAAGAGCCATTCCCCCAACCCCATTCCTAGCTGGACCCTCCCTGGGAAATGTGCCAGGGCAGGGAGGGCTGTCCATCTCTCCTCTCTGCAGCCCCCTCTTGATGCAGTGTGGGGGGCCCCCGTCCCTGTCCCTCACCCCTTTTTCTCCCCACAGTGCTTCCTCTGGAGAGGCGGCTCCACAAGGCTGCCCACCGAAACAGTGTCGGAAGGAAGAACGAGCTGATCGGGAGGAGAGTTAACATCAGGGCCAGAAACCGTGTGCGTAACGGGCTCCTAGAAATCGGGGGCCCCGTTCAGCCCCCAGATGGTGCCATGGTGACGCCACCACGCAGGTGGGACAGTTCACTGAGCCAGAGGCAGGCGCACGTGCATTATCTTGAGGTGTCCCTGGGTGGGTTCAAAACCACCAACCTAGCTGAGAGCAGTAAGGGACCTCACCCAAGGTCAGGGTCAGGATTCTAAGCCAACCGAAAAAAAAAACCAAACCTGTTGCCATTGAGTCAGTTTCAACTCATGGCAACCCCATGTGTTACTGAGTAGAACAGCTCCAATAGAGTTTTCTTGGCTGTAATCGTTCCGGAAGCAGTTTGCCAGCTCTTTCTTCCATGGTGCCTCTGGGTGGATTTGAACCACTAGCCTTTAGGTTAGCAGGTGAACACAAACCATTTGGGTCACCTAGGAAGCACCAATTCCAAGCCAGGGTCTTAATGCGTGAAAGGCACACCCAAGGAGCAAAGGTCAGAGCCTGGAGGGCAGGAAGTCAAAGGTCAGGAGTTAAGGGCAGGCAGAGGCAGCCCCGAGGAAGGAAGGAACAGCTGGTGAACAGAGAGGGCACATTACTTGCCTGAGACCACGCAGCAAGTTAGTGTTTCTTTTCATTGTCCCGTCACAAGTTGAAAACCACAGAGGGAAGTGGGCTCATGGGTCTGAGGCTGGCTTCCTCGAGGCCTTGTCAGATGTCCCAAGGGCCAGAGACCACGGTGGTCTGGAATGGAGGTGGTGGAAGTCAGTCCCCTTCAGCCCTGCTCTGAGGGAAGGAGGGGACAGAACCCAGCCACTCAGGTGCCCCATGGGAATCTGGAGAATAATGCTAGTCTGTCGCAATCCTAGGACTGTAAACCAATCCTCGGTGGCTGGTTTGTTTTCTGGAGGTGGGAGGAGGGATGCTGTGGATCAGACAGCAGGAAGCAGGCACAGGCCCAGCTCGAGGAGGGAGGAAGCATGAAGAGGTTCTCTGCTTGCAGGAAGCACAGGCATCTCACCACTGGCCCTCACCTGTGCCCCTCGACAATGCCTATCGCCATAGCCCCTCACCACAGCCCTCACCATGGCCGCTCACCACGGCCCTTCAGCAGAGCCCCTCAACAGGGCCCCTCACCATGGCCCCTCAACAGGGCCCGTCACCATGGCCCCTCAGCAGAGCCGCTCACCACGGCCCCTCACCATGGCCACTCACCACGGCCCCTCAGCAGAGCCTCTCGACAGGGCCCCTCACCATGGCCCCTCACCACAGCCCCTCACCAGGGCCCCTCACCACGGCTCCTCACCGCAACCCCTCAACGGGGCCCCTCAACTCTGCCCCTCATCTGCCCAGGAATAATCACTTGAGAGTGGAGTAAGGAGCAGTACTGGATTAGTAGGTTGAGCAGAGGCCCTTGAGAGACATTCATTTCTAGCTCATTTCCTCATTGTGAGACCATTTTGTGTCAGGCATTTGCTGGGCACCTGGGCACACAGGGACCAAGGCACAGCTGGTCCCGCAGGCACTTACAGCAGAATGGGGAGGCAGTTCCCGCAAGTCAGAGTGGTCACGGCCAGGGCAGGGGTGTGTGAAAGGGAGAAGGGTCAACCCTGGTGTGGGGGCAGGGAGGCCTACAGGGTCTTCGTTGGAATGAGATGTTAAGCTGGGCTTGACTGAATGAGACCTTGATAGATTAGTGACAGAGGGAAGGGCATTCCAAGCCAGCAAAGGCTCTTCCAGCCTGCAGACCAGCTATCCCAGCATGGGAGGATGTGGGAGGCGGGCTAGGCAGCCACCCACCTGACAGCTGCCCTCTTCCTCTTGGCAGGTGGGCAGGGTGGCCCTGCACTGGGCCGCGGGTGCAGGGCACGAGCAGGCTGTGCGGCTGCTCCTGGAGCACGAGGCTGCTGTGGACGATGAGGATGCGGTACGGGCCCTAAGAGGCATGCCTGTTTGGGTGTGTGTCTGTCTGGGGCAGGGGAGGGGTAACTGCGCTCTCTCTGGGTCTACAAGCCAGCTGTCTGTCTGTGCTGAGGTTGCTGTTGATATGCTGACGCGCAGGTGCAGGTGGGCGGGGCGTCAGACTGTTCAGGTCCAGTGACTCTGCACTAATCCTGTTTTCCCCTGAATTTATTGCTGAATAAAGATCTCTCCGTTTCCAAGGGCTTTCTGGTTCTCAGAGGCTTTTCAGTCCCTCGCAATACTGCGTGAACAAGAGGGAGAGATATGGGCTGTAGGAAAGATAATTAGGTGGACTGAAAAGACCCGCTTACTAAAGTCACCGGGAGAGTCTCTCATGATGTGCCACAGGGCCTGCCCTGTAAACCCCCTTTAGTCAACAGCTTGGATGAAGACTCCCAGTCTTGCTTAACCAATCGGCTGGCAGCACATTGGTGGGAGAGCACGCTAAAGAGGAGCTGGGTCTACAAAATTATCTCCACAGTGAGGGGCAGCCCCAGGTGAGACACAGGGCTAACGCTGGCAGTGACATTTGACAGGGATTCATTTAAGGGTCTAAATTTAGCTTTAAAAAAATTGTAGACTTCTGCAGAGATACAGCTGTCCATGGAAACACTTTTTTTTGTCCAGGCTTCTCTCAGCTCAGACCCCACCACAAGGGGGGCTTGATCTTAACCCAGCGTTGGGGGTGGGACAGCAACACCTACCCTTGCCGCCCTCCCCATGTCCTCCCCAAACCTGCTGAGGCCTCATTTCAAGGTGGCTCAGGAAGGAGAATGTCTAAGATCTTTACTCTGAGTTACCCGGTGAAACACTGCAGACTCTTGCATTTACCTTTTGCCCACAAAGACCGCTATTATCACCACTCTGCTCTGTTTCTTCCATCAGGGGCTGAGTGAGAGAAGACATGAGGGAGAACATTAAGAAGGAGTCTTTTTTATAGATCTTCTCCATTTCCTTTGTGTCTTAGTCATCTAGTGCTGCTATAACAGAAATACCACACGTGGATGGCTTTAACAAACAGATGTTTATTCTCTCACAGTCTAGTAGGCTAGAAGTCTGAATTCAGGGTGTCAGCTCCAAGGTAAGGCATTCTCTCTCTGTCAGCTCTGGAGGAAGGTCCTTGTCATCAATCTTCTCTTGGTCTAGGAGCTTCTCCACGCAGGAACCTCAGGTCCAAAGGATGCACTCTGTTCTGGCACTGCTTTCTGGATGGTATGAGGTCCTCTTGTCTCTCTGCTTGCTTCTCTCTTTATACCTCAAAAGAGACTGGCTTAAGAAACAATCTAATTTTGTAGATCTCATCAATACAACTTCTCTAATCCATCTTATTAACATCATAGTGATAGGATTTACAACACATAGGAAAATCACATCAGATGGCAAAATGGTGGACAATACTGGAAATCATGGCCTAGTCAAAGTGATACATATATTTTTGGGGGACACAATTCAATCCATAACACTTTGCTAACAGCAATAAATACATTTTGAAAAATAAGAAAGCTAGTAGGCACGTAAGTCAGTAACAGGAGTGTAGGGGAGACACAGGAGAGAAGGAAAATTCTGTTGTTGGGGGCAGGTCTCTAGTGCTATGCCACGGGGCTCTGTCCTGGACAGTTCCTGGGGCTGATGCAGGGGGTAGAAGCTGGTCTAGGACTGTCAAGTGCCTCTGGTTCCCACGGGCAGGAGACTCTGGCTTCCAGGACTCTCATTCCCCAACCCTGAGCCTTGACACCTTTCATTCCCAAGCTCTTGTGAGCTTCTGCCTCTGGACTCTGCCCTGTGCTCATTCGGTGCCTTCCTCAGCCAGCCAGCCAGCCCACAGTCACTGATGTTCTCCCAGGTGCTGACCTCTGAGGTGCTGGTTTCCTGGCCTCTTTAGCTCTAGTTGAGACCAGCTCCAGTCCCCATCTGAGGCTCTATGGAAGATCCTGCAACCTCCCCAAGATTTTTGGAGGAGGCCCTTAAATTCTTGTGGTCACTGCTGACTCTTCTAGCTTCTGCTCAACTCTTGCCGTCCTCTTGATATTTTGCAAATAGTCCTCTGTCTCTACCCTGGTGTCACCCCAAACATGGATCTCAGTCCTTTTCCTCGGTTTCCACAGAGCATCTACCCAAGGCCTTTGGTGTGGGACAACCTTTTCAAAATAAGAGACAGAGGAGACTTTTGCACACGAAAATAACGGAAACTCATACAATCCTGTCTTTGATGGTCTTGTTCTTTAAAGTCCCTCAGCCCTTTCCTTGTCTTGGGCCCCAGCCTCGGCTCCCCCTCCTCTCTCTTCAATGTTTTCTTTTTTCACATAACTCTCCCATGCCCACCTCCAAATTCTGGCAAATTCTTCCTGAGGCAAAGCAGTGACACTCTCTGGATGCTCAGGTGCCTGCTGACCAGCCAGTCCCCACTGGGGTTCACCTTTCACCATGACTGCTTGTCAGGGCTTTCACCCGAACAAAGACAGTTTTTCCCTCTCTAAGACAAATTCTGGTGGCAGCCCCTAAGACCACGTTTCCTGGCGGCCCTCACAAAGACTCCTTGTGGAGCCAGTGGGGAGGCAGCTGTGATCCAGGGTGCTCCATGCCGGGTGCTGAGGGTGAGCCACCCTCCACATTAGGCGTCCAGGCTGTGAAACTGGGGCTGATTGACAAGAAGAACAGGAGCTGGCCAGCTTTGTCCTCTGGCCCCTGCCCCAGGTGGTTTGGAGTAACTGAGGGTAGGGACAGGTTAGGGGGACCCCGACTCCAGAGCTCCCCTTGAGGCGTGCTCTGTGTTTCTGCTCCCAGCTGGGCTTTGGAGCATGTGCTCACTGCAGGCCTGCTCCTCATACCTATGGGGAGAGGCTTTGACCCATCAGAACGAGGCCATACTACAGGAAATGTGACCCTGTTTCTGTGGGAACATGTATTCTGGTTTGTGAACACTTGACCTACAAACACACTTTGGGGTGCCCATCATGCACTGAGGATGGACACCACAGCCTTAGGGCAAAGATGGCGATGGTCCCAGACCCTGCCTGATACCTTCACACGCAAGGAGAAACAGTGAAAACCATCCCAAGGAGGGGGGCGGCTGCTGCTGCATCGTGGGAGGTGAGTTTGGGAGGGTGTGCTTCACAGAGAAGGGAAGGCTCAAGGGCTGAGGTCATCAGGGAGCTCCGTGACCGTGAGCCTTCGCATGTGATGAGAAAGAGCGTCCACAAACAGGTGCTGGGCTGAAGGGACTGGAGGTGTTTTCCACTGCTCCAGAGGCCAGTGGGGTGGGAATTACTGGGATGCAGACTTCAGTGCAACATCAGGAAGAACTTTCTAACAGTGAGCAGTGTTTGACAGCAAAGGGGACATCTGCTGAGGTGGAGGTTCCACCCCCAGACACGGTCAGATTCAGGCCTCGTGCCTTGAGGATGTCCTGTGGGAGATTAAAACAGTCGATTCTCAAATGCTAGCCCAGGAGGAGTTGTCATCAGCCCCTCCATGAAGCTATACCTGGAAAGAATATATTCTGAGATTGGTTCCTGCCAAGTTTTTGGTATTAAAATGGCCTTTCTTTATGATATGATGGTAAGAGTAGGTGGCAGCTCTTTTAAGAGCTTTATTTAGGACAAAGTAAGTTGGCAATAGTATATCAGCCTTTATTAAAAAAAAAAAAAAAGCCCTGCTCTTTATATTCTAAAGTTTGGAGCTTTCTGGACTAGGTGGCCCCTATGGTCCCTCACGGCCGGATGATTTTGCGAGGTGGACAGCAGGACCCAGGTGACACAGCCACGCCTCCTCCCGTTTTCCCCCTCCCTCAGGCCCTCTCTCTCCCCCAGTTTGGGATGAATGCGCCTCTCCTGTCTGCCTGGTTTGGCCACTTACGGATCCTGCAGATCCTGGTCAATTCAGGGGCCAAGATCCACCGTGAGAACAAGGTAAGGCCCAGCCGGCAGCCCCTCTACCCCTGCCTGCCTCCCCCTCCTCTGTTTTCCCTCCAGTCTGTGCCCATGCTGTTTCCTCCTGCTTTCATCTGCCCCCAGTTGCCCCCATTTACCCCCACCTGCTACCCACATCCCACTTGCCTCCTTCCACCCCTGCTTGCCCCCTCCTCCCCCATCTGCCTCTGCCCCGCTTGCTCCAGCCCTTTGAGATCCCTACAGAGCCCCCAGCTGAGCTCAGCCCTGTGAAGCCGGGTCCCCTAACTGCCTCCACAGGAGCTGGGGAGGGCCTGGGAGGCCTCCTCCGTCAGCATTGAAAGCCTGGGACCCTCTGTTTTCTGACCCCCCCCCCCCACCCACCCTTTACTACTCAGTGATAATCTTTAGGGAAGCAGATCGCCAGGTCTTTCTCCTGTGGATCCGCTGGGTGGGTTCAGATTGTGCACACCTGTTGGGCCTGCTTCCCTCGTGGTGGGTATGATGGGTTGGGAGGAGCGCAGGCACCACGGACCAAACTCTGGGACCTTGGGCGAGCTCAGCCTTCACATCTGACAATGGGGTTGCTGGTACTCACCCCTGAACTGTGGGAGAAACAAGTGTAGCTCGGCGTCGTGCCTGGCACATGGGGGATGTAGCAGTCACCTCCCTGGTGTGAGCTGTGGTTGGAGGCAGGGCCCCTGCTGAGGGCTTCTCTGCCCCACAAGGCAAAATCCTGGAATCCCTCCGCTGGTGTCTCAGCTTGTAGGGACTCAGTGGCCCTTATGAAGATGCAAACACTTCTGGGCCAGAGTACCCTCAGCCAGGGCTTCTCAGCCTGGGTCCTTGGAGAGAATTCATGGGATCCATGAACTTGGATGGGAAAAAAAAGTACACATTTCTTTCCATGATGGGTGTAGGCAACCAACCACAGCAGTATTAGCGTTCCCTGTGACTCTGTCAGCTGTAGAAAACACGGCCACTCCTGTTTTCATATCGCAGTACAGTTTCTGCAGTTTTCTCAAACTGCTGTTGATGCTCTTTACTACTTTGAAATGATGGTAGCTGTTAGGCCCACCACTAGGTTTTGTTCAATAGATTAATAGAAAAGCACGTCTATTACTGGCTTTCTCTTACCAGGCATTGGTGACACTTACCGTGTTGTTAGTTGTCATCAAATAATTGATCCTGACGCGTGGCGACCCCTGTGTGCAGAGTAGAACTGCCCCACGGGGTTTTCAAAGCTGTGACCTTTTGGAAGCAGATCGCCAAGCCTATCTTCCGAGGCGCCTCTGGATGGGTTCAAACCGCCAACCTTTTAACTAGTAGTCAAGCGCTTACCCGTTTGTGCCCCTCAGGGACTCCTCAGGCATTGGTGATATTGAACCTTCAGAGCTGGAGTGTCAGTTCCTGCCTTCCTCTACGTACCTCCTGCAGACATTGCTAGGACTTGTCTTTTTCCCTCAAAGGGGGCATTGCAGGTTGGGGGGTGGGGAGCGACTGGGGTGGGGACAACAAGCTGTTTAGTACATTGAGGGGGATCTACTTCGATGAAATTTCAGAGTGGTGCAAAAGGAGTTTCAGATAGAGCTCTAAGACGTTTCTAACTACTAAGAACTTCCAACTCTGAATTTGCCAGCAGTTTCCGCGAGTATTTGTTGAGTGCCTGCTGTTTCCCCTGCCTGTGCTAGGAAGCATGGGGCCCGTGCTGTAGGTTAGAGAGACAATTGCCTCTGGGGCCAAGAGACCTCCTTCCTGCCTACCCTCTTCCCCAGGCCACTTCCCTCCTAGTCCCTGCAGAGCGTGTCTGCTCTCAGTCCTCCTCCTGATGCTGGAGGGTCAGGAGGTCACCTCCTGGGACACACGGGGCACTTTGTCACCTGCTTCCTCACTTGCAGCCGTAGGGAGGCAGGTGCCCACAGCCTTCAGAGCAGTGTTCCGCAGGCGTGTTCTGGGGCACCGTTAGCGCTGTACGACCTCATCTGAATCTTTTTTCAGTTTATAAAATACCTTTCATGTAGGTGATTCCATCCGATCCTCTCATCTACTCCTGAGGTAGTCAGAAATTAGCATCCTAGTTTGACCTATGAGAAAATGGAGGCTCGGAGAGGTGGACATATCCTGCCAAGAATACAGAACTGATACGTGCCGGAGCTGGGGTTTGAACTCTGGCGTCCTGACCCCTAGTAGCCCCTATGAGACTGAGTAGGCTCAGTGTGTATCCCAGGGGCCCATCTGCCATTCACTGTGTTGCTTCCATGGGGAAGCTGCATTCTGGGTCCCAAACACCTACGGTTTGGCAGACAGCCGGTTGTGAGAAGGGTCTCCCTTCCCAGATGGCAGGGACCGCCCTGGGCTTGTTTCCAGGACAGCCTGTCCTTACTGCACTGTGCAGCCCAAAAGGGTCACGTGTCGGTGCTGGCGTTCATCATGGAGGACCTGGAGGATGTAGCCCTGGACCACACCGACAAGGTGAGCACCGTCCTAAGGCTGTTCGTCCTTCCCATTGGGCCTGGGGCTCTGAGGCCCCTGCTGCCCACCAGCTTGCCTCATTCCCTTATTCCTGGAGCATATCCTTTGAGCTATGGGTAACGCAGACCCAGGCTTGCCTCGGGGAGCTCCTGGTCTGGAAGGGGTGTTAGGGAACACATGTGCAGGATACAGAGGAGCACGGTCCATCCTCTTGGAGAGGCCCTGGTCAAGGACTAGTCAGGCCCTGGTCAAGGACTAGTCAGGTTCAGAGAAGGAAGCCCTGCTCTCTGCTTCCTGGAGGAGGTGGCATTTGGTGACTGAATTGGATTTTATGGGTAAGACTGGGGAGCAGGGGGGCATTCCACGTGAAGGGGAGCGCATCGCCAGAGCTTTTGAGGTGGAAAGGGGCCCTTTGTGCGTGAGTTCAGGTCGGTTGGGATCTTGAGAGCGAAGACCAGAGATGTGGTGGGAGCTGCTCATGGAAACCGTGGTCTCCGGCCTCAGGAGTCTGTCCTTTATGTATTCAGCAGTACGGACCCCACCAAGTGGCTCTTTTGAAGCTGGGTCTGGGTTCCCAGATGGAGTGTGTGGAGAGAGGAGGGGCAGTGGCTGGGGAGCAGAGACCAGGTGGGCAGGGTGGAGGTGCGTGCTCTCCAGGATGCAGAAGGCTCACTCTCTTTTTCCTCCTGGCAGCTGGGGAGGACAGCGTTTCACCGGGCCGCTGAGCACAGGCAGTTGGATGCCGTGGACTTCCTTGTGGGCTCTGGATGTGACCACAGTGTACAAGACAAGGTATGGCTGTGACCTTTGGGCTCAGGGGAGGCCCAGTTTCTGGGCATCTGACAGGGTGCAGAACCCCCTGCCACCTTCCAGGTGCTGGCACCTCACCTGTGCTGGAGGGGTGGGTGGCACAAGGCCCGAGCATGTCTAATGTTCATCCAGCAAAATTTTATGAGCACCCTCTATGGGTCAGGCCCGAGCTTCAGGTTGGGGATTCCTAGATGCCCAAGACACGCTCCTTACTCAAGGAACTCAGCACCAGCATCCTAGTAAAGAGCTACGATCCCATGTGGGGAGCTGGGATGGCAATCTGAGCAGTTGGTAGTAGCTGCCTGGAGAGGTTGAGTAGGATTGCGATTCCACTGGGATGTCTAATGTTTGTGGGGAGTCCCTGGGTGGTGCAAATGATTAACTTGCTTAGCTGCTAACTGAAAGGTTAGAGGTTCAAGTCCACCCAGAAGTGTCTCGGAAGAAAGGTCTGCTGATTTGCTTCTGAAAGGTCACAGCTCTGAAACCCTGTGAAGTGCAGTTCTACTCTACAACATGTGGGGCTGCCTTGAGTTGGAATCGACTTGATAGCAACTGGGTTTTTTTGTTGTTGAGGGTGGGGGCAGAGTTAGGGGGATGGTAGCCACCTGCTGTTTATTTGCTTTCTTTGGAGTTTAGTGCTCTACTTTGGAAGCCCTGGTGGCGTGGTGGTTAAGAGCTACCCAAAAGATTGGCAGTTTGAATCCACCAGGCGCTCCTTGGAAACCCTGTGAGGCAGTTCTACTCTGTCCTGTAGGGTCACTATGAGTCGGAATCAACGACAACGGGTTTAGTTTGGTTTTATGGTTATAAAGGAGTCCTGGTGGCACGGTGGTTAAGTGCTCTGTTGCAAACTGAAAGGTCGGCAGTTCAAACCCACCAGCCACTCTGTGGGAGAAAAATATGGCAGTCTGCTTTCTGTAAAGAGTGTAGCCTTGGAAAGAACTTGGCAGTTCTTCTCTGTCCTGTAGGGTTGCTATGAGTTGGAATCGACTCTACGGCAATGGCTGTGGTTTTTGGTTTTACTGTGGTTATGGCAAAAACAGGATGGAAGTGCTGAGGAAGGAGCAGTTCACTCAGAGTGGAGAGCTTGCGAGCAGGATTTCACCAATCTGAGAAGGGACTGGAGGGGACTAGCCAGCAAATGACTCAGATCAATAGACCTTTGCAAATCAGTGGGTAAAATACATTGCAGCAGATTCTAAACGATGCTTCCAATGAAAGGATGATCAGCATGTTTGGCCAGGATCGAGGGAGTTCTGTTTATAAGGTAGTGACAGAGAAAATGATTTATGTGGAGTACCACAGGCAGGGGCAGGTTATCCAACAGGCAAGGTAAGCACGTTTTAGTGGAAAATATTTGAGTTTTCCTCATCCGACAGGTTTCTGCCTTACACATGTTCTGCCTATCGCAGACTTTACCGTATATATTTTGCCACAATAAAAAATTATTTCAAAAATTGCATATACATGCTAAGTTGGTGTTTTCATTTTGAATTGCATTTGGGGAGGGACGCAGTGAGTTTTTCAAGTCCTTGGGCCACAAAGGTCTAAATCCTACCAGGACTCTGTGGCCAGCTAAGGGGGGTAGACCTGTCAGAACTATAACAGGTCCCACCACAGCTGCTGTAATGGTAGGGCAGCTTTGAGAGCCCAGCAAGAGTGATTCATTGTTTGGAACAGGAAGGCATCACAGAGACGGAGATGCAGGGCACCCCCACTGGTGGAGGGGGAGGGCCCCTGCCAAGGCCAAGGCCACCTTCCGCCCAGCTCTCCTGCCTCTGAGCCCGCTGCCCTGCTCCAGGCCGAGTGCCAGTGCCCTGCGAGGCAGTCTGTGCCACCTGCAGCTTCAAAGGGCAGGACGTGGATATTTGTAACTCAGAAAGAAAAAGAAAGCCCTGCACTGTCTCCACAGCCCCGCTGACGGGGGGCACACGGCAGCCGCCCATGGTTCACTCACTTCCTTCCGGTCTGTTTGAACGCAGAGACTTCGCGCCGTGGCCACGTTTCCCACAGCCTGCATCCTCGCTCAGAGCAGCGAGCTGACTAGGCCGGCAGTGTGCTATGGCGGGGAAGGTGCAGGAGTGAGTGGAACACGCAGAGCTGTTGAGGAGGGATTTTTTTTGTCAGATAAAAAAATTATTATGGTAAAACATATATTAACAAAACATTTGCTATTTTAACTATTTTTACTTGTACAATTCAGTGACATTAATTGCATTCACCGTTATTGAGCGTCCATCACTGTCCATTTCCAAATGTTTTTCATCACCCCAAACCCAAACTCAATACCCCTTAAGCAATAACTCCCTGTATATAGACTTTTAAATTTTAAAAAGGTACTTTTAAAAACTTACAAAATAACACATATTCATTGGGAAAATCACTCCACATTACAGAAATACGTATCATAGTGACATGCCCCAGAAATCCCTACGGTGAGGAGGGATTTTTAAACTTATTTTTTATTTATTAATATAATGTTCTGATGATCATGTAGGAAATTTAAACATGTCATCCTTGATTCCATAAAGTGGCTTCAGCTGTTCTATGTATGTGTAGGTTTATAATGGGGGTTATACTTTTAAGTATTTTAAGCAATACTTTGGATTTGGTATATGTCTAAATCTTTACTGGACCCTGAAGGATCTGTGCCTAAATGTGAATGTCTTGATTCCTTTCTCAGGAAGGTACAGAGATAGGCAAGGGTGGAGGTAAGCTTGAGCTTAGGAGTCAGATGTGGGTTCAAATCCTGGATCCACTTCTTTCTAGGAATCCCTGGGTGGTAAAAACGGTTCACTCACTAGGCTGCTAACCAAATGGTTGGAGGTTTGAGTCTACTCAGAGGCACCTAGGAAGAAAGGCCTGGAATCTATTTCTGAAAAATTAGCCATTGAAAACCTTACGAAGTACAGTTCTACTCTGACACACATGAGTTGAATCAACTCGACGGCAGCTGGTACTGGTAACTACTTACCAGCTGAGAGACCTTAGACAATTACCTTTTGGAATGTGCTTGTCAGGTTTGGGGATCTGGATTATGCTGGCGTCCTAAAATGCGTCGGGAAGCGTCCCCGCCTCCTCTGTTTTCTGAAAAAAAATGTGTGTAATGTTGATGTTATTTCTTCCTTAAATGTGTGACAGATTTTACCAACGAGTGAAACCATCTGGAGTTTTCTTTGTGAGAAGGTTTTTGATCGCTAATTCAGTTTCTTTAATAGATACAGAGCTACTCAGATGCTCTGTTTCTTCTCAAGCTGGGTTTGGAAGCTGTGTTTTTCAAGAACCTTGTCTATTTCATTAAGTTATTGAATTTATTGGCATAAAATTGTTTGCCGTATTCTATTACTTTCTTTATAATGTCTGTAAAATCTGTAGTGAGATCCCCTCTTTCATTCCTGATTTTGGTAATTTATACTCGCTCAAGCTCTTTGTCTTAATCAGTCTTGCGAGGGGCCAGAAGTACAGCCAGAATGCTCCTTAGAAGCAAGGAGGCGAGACTTCATCTCACATACTTTGGACATGTTCTCAGGAGGGACCAGTCCCTGGAGAAGGACATCATGCTTGGTAAAGTAGAGGGCCCGTGAAAAAGAGGAAGACCCTCAACAAGATGGAGTGACACAGTGGCTGCAACAATGGGCTCAAGCATAACAGCGATTGTGAGGATGGCGGAGGACCAGGCAGTGTTTCGTTCTGTTGTACATAGGGTCGCTATGAGTCGGAACAGACTCGATGGCCCCTGACAACAACAACAATAAGGAACTTGTCATCTTTTCAAGGAACCAATTTTTGGCTTTGTTAATTTTTGGACAAATTACTTCAAGCCTTGCTGTTGTTAGTTGCCGTCAAGTTGATTTCGACTCATAGCGGCCGTATGTGACAGGAGAAGTGTCCCACGGAGTTTCTAGGCTGTAATCTTTACAGAAGCAAATTTCCACATCTTCTCCTGAGAAGCCACTGGGTGGCTTCAAATGACAACCTTTCGGTTAGCAGCCAGATGCTTAACCATGGCACCACCAGGGCTCCTTCTTTAAGCCTTGGAGGGCTGTTATGAAGATCAAGGAGTTTGCGTACCTAAGAGGCCAGGCAAGCTATATGCTAGGCACTAAACAAATGTTCCCTTTCCAGCAGCCACCTCTGACCTGCACACGTTGTCCTGTGTGGAACCCAAGAAGACAAGTACAAGGAGGTTCACTGCAGCGCTATTCGTAGCTCCAAAGAATTAGAAAAAAACCACTGGCCAAATGGAACGCAGTAATTCATGTGCTGGCATACCATTCGGTAGTTAAACAGAATGATCTGTTGAACAAGCTGAACTTCATTTTTTTCACCCTCTGCTCCTTCAGGCCTGCTTTCTGGACCTGTTATTTCCTGCTCCTCGTGAAATTTTGGGCAGTACCATAGCTTTCCCTTTTAATCACAAGAACGGTCCCATTTTAGCAATTAAAAGTCCCATCCAATCCCAAACTCTTCATTTCGGGTTTCTCTCTTCCCTCAGCCAGGACCTTCCCCAGCCCTGGAAGCCTGGAATGGGGGGGAGGGTGTGGCCAGCTTTTTTTTTTTTTTCATTGCCTCTTCTACCGGCTGCTGCTCTGGGTCTCTGCAGACGGAGGGGGTTGGCAGACAAGGTTTGGGCCAGGAAAGGTCCCCTCTGCCTGGGACTGCAAAGTTATGCCTCAGGTTGCCGATAAGAACGCAGATGGAGCATTCGCTGGAGAAGACAATCTGGTGGTTCCTCAGAAAGCTAAATCTAGAGTTACCACATGACCCAGCAATTCCACTCCTAGGTGTAGTCAAACCTGCGAAAGATGGAACCCGTGTAAGGTGGAAACCTGTCATAGAAGGAAAATTCAAATATTTTCCACTAATAGCAATAGAAATGTGGTAAGATTACACCCTGACCAAGTGGAAAACTTGCAAGACCCGGAAAAACAAGGCAGTCCCACAGGTGTCACTGTGTCTACCCAAGAGAAATGAAAATATGTCCACACAAAAATGTGTACGCAAATGTTTATAGTGGCATCAGTCATAATAACCAAAAGGTAGAAGCCCCCACAAATGTCCTTCAACTGATGAATGGAAACAAATTGTAGTCTATCCATGAAATGGAATAATAAAACCCAAACCCGTTACTGTTGAGTCGACTCTGACTCATAGCAACCTCATAGGACAGACGAGAACTGCCTCATAGGGTTTCCAAGGAGCGGCTGGTGGATTTGAACAGCCGACGTTTTGGTTAGCAGCCGAGCTCATCAACCATAAAAAGGAATGGTGTGCTGATACATGCTATGATGTGGGGGAAAACCTTCTGCTAAGTGAAAGAAGCCAGGCACAAAGGCCACACACACGCTGTGTGATTCCTCTTATATGAAATGCCCACCATAGGCAAATCATAGAGACAGAAAGCAGATATGTGGTTGCCAGAGGTGAGGAGAGGGAGGAACGGGAAGTGATTACTTAAAGGGCATGAGGCATTGTTCTGGGGTGATGAAAACGTTTCTTAAATTTATTTTATGTTTTTTGATGTTGTTGTTGAGAATATACACAGCAGGACATACACCAATTCAACAATTTCTACATGTCCAATTCAGTGACATTGATTACATTCTTCGAGTTGTGCAACCACGCTCACCCTCCTTTTCCAAATTGTTCCTCCCTCATGAACATCAACTCTCTGCCCCCTAAGCTTCCTGTCTAATCATTCAAGTTGCTGTTGTCAGTTTGATCCCATATAGATAGATCTTAAAAGAGCACCGTGCTCAAGGCAGACATTCTTTGCTAGTTAAGCTAAAGATGAAAAGTTTTGAAATAAGAGAGAGGTGGGTGTTGCACAATATTGTGAATGTTCTAAGTACCACCAAACTGTGCACTTTAAAATAGTTAATTGTTATATGAATTTTGCCTCAATTAAAAAAAAGACAAGAAAAAGGTATGTCCAAGGGGTCTTTTGGGCCCCATGAGTAGCTAAAGCTGGATCTTCCCTTGTGGATACTTTCGGGGTTCCTCACTCAGGGGTCCTTGTTCTGTCCTCCATCTGTGGCTTCCCTGAAATGACATGCCTTTTCTCTGGTCGGTCACTTCCAGCTGCCCTCCCCTCTTGTGGGGCCCCTTTACCCCTCCAGGTGTCCTCTGAGGTACAATCCCTTAAAGGATGACCCCAAACAAGCTGCCTTTGGCGGAGTCACCTCTACTACAAAGGACATTGTGCCCTTTGCCCTGCCCAGTGAATCCACTTGTCTTGGGTCTGTCACTGACACCATCAGAATTCTAAACTTGGCAACTGCCCGAACTTCCGGCCCTCACTTGCCAGGAGACACGTGTCAAGATCTCCACGTGGTCCCCTGGAGGACCCTCTCCCATTATTTACTCATTGACCTAATATCTATCGAGGGCCTGCCGTGTGCCCCAGGCCCTACTCTAGGCGCTTGGGGAGACTTCTGAGAACAAAACAGAAATCCCTGCCCTTGTGGTGCTTGTTGTTGTAAGGTGCCATCGAGGCAGTTCTGACTCATAGCGACCCTCCGTGCGTCAGAACGGAACACCGCCTGGTGCTGCGCCATCCTCACAATCGTTGTTATGCTTGAGCCCATTGTTGCAGCCACTGTGTCAATCCATCTCGTTGAGGGTCTTCGTCTTTTTCACTGACCCTCTGCTTTACCAAGCATGATATCCTTCTCCAGGGACTGGTCCCTCCTGAGAACATGTCCAAAGTATGTGAAATGAATCTCGCCATCCTTGCTTCTAAGGAGCATTCTGGCTGTACTTCTTCCAAGACAGATTTGTTCCTTCTTCTGGCAGTCCATGGTATATTCGGTATTCTTCACCAACACCACAATTCAAAGGCATCAATTCTTCTTCGGTCATCTTTATTCATCGTCCAGCTTTCACATGCATAGGAGGCGATTGAAAACACCATGGCTTGGGTCAGGCCCATCTTAGTCCTTAAAGTGACATCTTTGCTTTTTTTAACACTTTAAAGAGAGAGGTCTTTTGCAGCAGATTTTCCCAGTGCAATGCGTTGGTTGATTTCTTGACTGCTGCTTCCACGGTGTTGATTGTGGATTCAAGTAAAACGAAATCCTTGACAACTTCCGTCTTTTCTCCATTTATCATAATGTCGCTTACTGGTCCAGTAGTGAAGTGCTTAGGTTCTAGCAAAGGGAGCCAGACAGTGAACAGGAAGCCTGGCATACAAGTGCATTAGGTAATATGTTAGCAGGTGATAAGTATGGGAGAGAAAAGCAAGCAGAACAAGGTGGGGGGCCAGGATACACGAGGTGAGAGTGTCCGTTTTAAACTGTATGGGTAGGGTAGGCCTCAGTGAGAAGTGAATATCTTGAGCGAAGAGATGAACCTTGAAAACGTTATGCTAAGTGAAGAGGGGGTGAGTGACTGGGCCAGGCAGCTGCCTGGGACCAGCTGAGCACAGGGGAGAGCACCCGGAGCCACGTCCTTGAGAAGGGAGAGTGTGCCGGAGGAGGGACTGGCTTTACACAGGAGCATGGAAAGTCAGTTTTTATTTTGTTTTTGTTTTTCAAAGCAATGTGCCTGCCTTGATGCTTAAAGAAAGAGACGAGGACGTGGCCCCTGAAAGTGCCCCTGGCTGTAGTTCTTGGCACAGTTCTCAGGGGCAGGGCAGCACTGCCTCAGAGTGCCAGGCTGGGCTCATCATGGGTCTGTGCTGTGACCCTGGGCATGTCACTTTGTGCTCCGGACCTCAGCTTCTGAGTCTACAACATGAGGGGGTGGGTCTAGACGGGCCTCAGGGCCTGTGAGCATCTGTGATTCCGCCAACCCCTCAGGAGCCCTTCTCCCTGCAGGAGGGGAGCACAGCCCTTCACCTGGCGGCCGGCCGGGGCCACGTGGCTGGGCTGCAGCGACTGGTGGATCTCGGGCTGGACCTGGAGGAGCAGAACGCAGTGAGTCACCCGCTGCAGGCTGGCCACCCTTCCAGGCTCTGGCCTGGGGGTGCAGAGACATGTGACACTCACTTGCTCCCTGCCTTTGAGAAACTCACAGCCCATAGCGCAGTCTGATTTCCCCCTTGTGGAGACCCCAAAGCCAGGATGCTGAAGACATGTTCCCTGACTAGCAGCCACCAGGAAAAGACAAGGCTCTGGGGCCAGAGGGGCATCGGGCGTGACGATTACCAAGAAGGGATACGCATAGTGTGTGCTCAAAGAAGTGAAGTCACCATGGCCAGGATGGGCAGGGACGGCTTCCTGGAGGAGGAGGGAATGGGTGGAGAGCAGGGGTGAGGCGGCTTGACAGGTGAGGAGAACATGAGCAGAGGTGTGGAGGGAATGTACCACGTGCTCCACAAAGTGAGAAAACCAGGGTGGAGCTCAAGGTCATGGTCCTCGGTAGAAGAGCTGTTGAGAACTCAAACCCCCGGAGCCATGCTAGGGGCGTCCTCTCACCTCGGGCTTTGCCCTCAACCCTGTATGTTTCAGGAGGGCCTGACTGCCCTGAACGCTGCTGCTGAAGGGATCCACCCTGCCTGCGTGCACATCCTCCTCAGGGCTGGGAGCTGCGTGAATGCCCTCACCCAGGTAGCCAGGCCTCCTCGTGCCCGCCATCTGCCCTTGGCCACCAAGCCAGAACCGTGGCAGCAGTAACTGCCACAGCGATTCCTGAATGTTGAGCGAATAGAGGCTTCGAGGCAGCAAGCCCAGGTTCTGGTCCAGGCTTCTCCACTGCTGAGCTCTGTGACCTTGGGCAAGTTACTTAACCTCTCTGAGCATTGTTTCCCAACCATAAAATGGGATTGATATGTGCTTATTTTTTACATGGCTGTGAGGATTGAATACCTAGCCCAGGGCCCAGGACATAGCAGCGACTCAATACCTCTTGGTACTGTCTTCTTCTTGTCTGGCACTTGATAGGTGACAAAGCCCCTTCATGTCTGTTGCCTCATAAAAATATCCCCCATTTTATAGACAAGGAAACTGACGCTTAGAGAGCTTCAGTGGCTTTCTCAGGGTCACAGAACTGGGAAGAAGGGAAGCTGAGTCTCAAAAGCCTGTTTCCCTGACTGTGGAACTCCTGGCCTGGACGGTGTGCCGCGGCCAGCGGTGGAGGGTCCTTTTACGTGGAGGCCCACCTGTGCCGTAGCCATCCGAGCCCACAGAGCTGGGGCCTGGGGCATGACCCTGGGATGGGCTTCTCTCCCTCACCCTTGCGCTCCTCAGGTCTGATGTTAGAAATTCTCCTGGAAAGGAGGATTGTGACTTCTCTTTAGGTAAAGGCTGTCTTTTGAAATCAGTGACAAATAACTTTTCTTGGCTTGTTGAATGGCTTCAGGGGCTGGAAATTTTTATGTCTTGTAAATTTCAATAATAATAGCAAAATATAGCTTAAAAATCAACAGAGGAATTAAAATGACGTGCTACAAATATTTATGTAATACAAAAGAAGGCAGTCAAGGAAGAACCAAAAAGATAGAAGACATACAGAGAATAAATAGCAAAATGGCAAATGTAAATTCAATATTGCCAGCATTAAATCCCCCTGAATGTAAATAATAGTTTATAAGTCACAAAACACTTAATTTGCAAAACTCCCCTGGGGAAGCGACCGCCCCAGGGCAACTAGCTACTGCCCTTCTTCAGCACTGTGTTGCTCCTTGGTGAGCAAGTCCCCTTCTCTCTGCCCAGCAGGGTATTAGGAACTGGGAGAGGGGGGCAAGAAAGTGAAATGACATGGCCACCTCCCTAACAGTAGCAGCGATGGAGGCGGGTGGGGGAAGGTCATGCCCAGCTGGGTGGTCCTGGGGGTTGGAGCTGCCCACGCACTGGGCCTCATGGCCCAGACTTGGCTGGAGGTTTCTGGCAGAGGCTACCTTCCATTTTGACACCAGATCCCCCCCATTGAGGTGTCATGCAGCAGGGTCTCTGAAGAGGGGAAAGCCCAAAGTGACGGCGTTTCCCACTGGAGGTGGACTGATTCCCACCCACCCTGTGCACTCTCTGATGGGACTTTTGTAGGGTGACCAACTCATCCTGGTTTGCCCCATTCTATCCTGATTTTAAAACTGAAAGTCCTGAGTCCCAGGAACCTCCTGAGTCCTTTTACTTGTGCCTCCAAATCCTTGATGTCTCCAGTCTCAGGGTTCAATGGGGATAATAGTCCAAGGGTGGTTGTGAGACTCAAAGGGAATGATGAAGCCCCAAGTGCTCTGTAAACCCTGTTGTGAGGGGTCCTCATGGCATTGCACTGATGCCTGTTTCCCTCTAGAAAAAGCTGAGCTGCCTTCACTACGCGGCCCTCGGTGGCTCCGAGGACGTGGCCCGGGCCCTCATCCACGCAGGAGGCTGCACCAACGTGGCTGATCATGTAAGTGTGGGGCCTAGATTGAAGGGGGTCTCCACTGGAAAGTCTTCCAGTGATCCTGCTGGTGAAGCACAGCAAGGAAGGACAGGCACTTCGGGCCCTTGGTGTTGGGATGGGGCCAGGACTAGCAGAGTTGGCAACACCTGGGAGAGTGAGCAATGTTCTAGCTGGAACAGGATTAGAAACCAAGCTTGCATTTCCTCCCAAGTGGATTATCTGTATTCTCCACTCAGTTAGCCATTGGGTCTTATTGATGTTCTTTTATATTACAGATAGCAGTACCCTCTAAGCTGTTAAATTTTTTCCTATTATAATATGTTTGGTACACAGGAAACAGTATAGCCTTGTAGCTAAGACATGGACTTTGGTGTCGGGCAGCCTGGCTCTGAGCTTTAGCACTGCCATTCATGAACTGAATGACCTTGGGCAAGCTGCTTAGCCTCTGGTTCCTCGTCTGTGGGGGCTATATTATTCCCGCTGGATAAAATGAGGAAAACGCTATTGTTTGGTTGCCTCCAGCGTGGGAGTCAGTAGAGCCGATACTCTCAAAAAGTTAGAGTTATTATATCATCTGATGCGAAAATTCCACTCCTACAAATATACCCAAGAGAAATGACAACATATGTCCACACAAAATCTTGTACACAAATGTCTATAGTGGCATTAATCATAATAGCCAAAAGATGGAAACAACCCAAATGTCCATCAGCTGATTAATGGATAAACAAAATGTGGTATGTCCATGTTGTTGTTGTTGTTAGGTGCCGTTGAGTCGGTTCTGACTCATAGCAACCCTGTGTATAACAGAACGAAACACTGCCTGGTCCTGCGTGATCCTCACAATCATTGTTATGCTTGAGCCCATTGTTGCAGCCACCGTGTCAGTCCATCTGGTTAAGGGTCTTCCTCTTTTTTGCTAATGGTGCAGTGATGAAGAACTCGGCTGCTAACCAAAAGGTTGACCGTTCGAATCCACCAGCTGCTCCTTGGAACCCCTACGGGACAGTTCTACCCTGTTCTATAGGATTGCTATGGTCAGAATCGACTCTACTGCCAATGAGTTTTTTGGTATATCCATACAGTGGAATATTACTCACCCATAAAAAAGAATGACATATTGATACATGCTACAACATGGATAAACCTTGAAAACATTGTACTAAATAAAAGATGCCAGTTACAACTGACCACATATTGTATGATTCCATTTATATAAAGTGTTCAGAACAGGCAAATCTATACAGACACAAAGTAGATTAGTGGTTGCTTAGGGCTTGGGAGATCTGGGGATATGGTTGATAGCTAAAGGGTATGGGGTTTCTTTCTGAGGAATGTAAAGGTTCTAAAATTGACTGTAGTGATGGTTGCCAATACATGTGCAGATACTAAGTATATACATTGAATCATACACTTTAAAATAGTGAATTGTATGATACGTGAATTATTTGTCAATAAAAATGTTTTTAAGAAACTGACAAAGCAACTATCATGTCCTATCATTATAACTTCATAAATATATATATATTTTACCCATAAAAGTAGGAAGGACATAATCTCAGAATAAAAAATGGATTATTTAAATGAGACTAATTTATTAAAAAGAGAGAGAGAGAGATTGTAAGCAAAGTCAAAAGCCAAATGACAAACTGGAATCACAGATAAAAGGTCTAAGTCTTCCTAACATATATAGAGTTCCTACGATGTGTGTGTGTGTTTGCGATTGTAACAACTGTTCTTTACTCTTTTTATATTCAATATATGAGGGTGTTTTCCACAACAAATACAGATCCACGCCATCAAGTTTACTGGCTGTGCACCATTCCCTAGTATTTGTGTCACCACATTGTCTGGAGATGGGAGATGCTGCGGCAGCATCTCCACTTTGTCACTTACACTCAGGGGACCACAGGGGACAATTGGGGGTGGCCTCCTCCAGCCTTGAGAGAGGTCTAGGAAGAGCACTGAACTTGGAGTGAGATGTCTGCTCTGGTCCCGCTGGCTCTCATTTCTTCATTTCATACTTAGTTATTAGGCACCTACCAAGTTGCTGGGGGTAGAAGGTCCAATGAGACACAGCCCTTATTAACTATGTGCTCTGGAGCAAGTGGTTTACGTTTTCTGAACCTTTGTGTTTCCGTTTGTAAGGTGAGAGTACTAATAAGAATGCCAGCCTCTATACTTCCTGTGTTGCTGTGTGGATCCAACAAGACAGCAGAGAACCTTCAGGTGTTGCTAGAAGGGACCTGAGCAAACACTGCTTGCCAGATGAAGAGCACCAGAGGAGGGAGGTGGCTTGCCTCAGGTCACACAGCAAGTCCCTGGCACAGCAAGGTCTCAAACTTGGCTCTTCAGGTTCCCACCCACCTGGAGGATCAGTTCTGGGCTCCAAGGATTCAAGCTTTAGGGCTGTAAATGCCTCAGGCCACCCATGTAGGCTGAGAAGCGACAAGGGCCAAACATAGAAGCCCATACCCCTCCTACTCCCACCTCCCTGCACCACCCTGCAGCTGGGCGATCGTGATCTGTTTGTCTGTCCCCACAGAAGGGCGCCTCTCCCATACACCTCGCTGTGAGGCACAACTGCCCAGCCCTGGTGCAGCTCCTCATTGACACCCAGAGTGACCTGGATGCCACCGACAATGTAAGTGGCTCAGCAACCATCCTGGCCCCTAGGGAACCTCTGGTCAGCTTGCCAGATGGGCCGGGCTTGGCCCCAACTCGAGGAATTGCTTTTTCAGTCTTTAAAAAGCTGTTTGAATGTTTGTTAAAGGTAGCATCATTTTATTAACCACTTCCCTATTTTGAACCCTTTGGTTGTTTCCAAGTTTTTGTCGTGATATATATAACACTGCACGGGACATCTTCCTTTAACCTTTTCCTTTGATTTTTTTTCCTTAGGAAAATTCCCAGGGCAGGGGTGACTGGGGCAGTCTTGTGTAACAAAGTGGCTGCTGAGTCCTGAAGTTGTGGTCAGCCAGGAGCCCTTTGAAATCCCTGTCCCCACAATCCATCCTCCAGTCATATGAAACTCAGGGCTGGCAAGACTATGGAACCCACAAGCACTGGGAGTAGAAAGCAATTTGGCAGAATAGAGCACATACCTTCGAAATGTTATTTGCATTTCTAGGAATTGAGCCTCAAGAAATATATCAAAAACTTCATGCGAAAAGATGTTCATTGCAATGTATTTATCAGAACTCTATTTGAAAATGACCCTAATATTTAATAATAGAGAAGTGGTTAGATAAACTACAACACACACAGAGAGGGTATTATGGAGCTCTTAAAAACAGTGTTTATCAGAGTTTATAAAACATGTAAAGTGTTAGGTAGAAAAATAGGATGCAAAATGTATATACAGGACGATCTCAAATATATAAAACCAGCAAAGCAAAAAATTCTGCGTTAGAGAGAAGACTAGAAGAAATTACGGGGTTGACTTAGAGTGGTGGGCTAGTGAGTAGTTTTTCTTTCTATTTCTTTCTTTCTTCTTTTCCGTGTTCTCCAAGTCTTCTCTGGTGAGTATTGTATTTATGATTAAACCCAGCCCCCACCCCCAGCTTCTTACAGAAACTTTGCTAAGGCCCAGTTGGGAGTCTCCCTACTTTGGTCTTGGCCTGGCTTGAGCCACAGGTCACCCCTACATGCTTTTCTGCTCACCTGTGCCCTCCACTTCTTCCCCAGAGGCGGCAGACGCCCCTGCACCTCGCCGCCGAGCATGCCCGGCAGGACACAGCAGAGATGTTCCTTGTCGCTGGGGCTAACTTACACATGAGAGAGAAGGTACCTCTGCTCACCCCTCGTCTCCCTTTCAAGCTTCCATGGCTCCCTCTTTGGAAAAGGCCCTGATGCGAATGCCTACTCCATACTCCCTGTCCGAGTGTTCAAGGCCTCTTTATCCGTTTATATACTAGCGCAAATGTAGCCTCCTCCAGGAAGCCCTCCTGCCCCTCCACCCCCTGCGCTCTCTCCTCTGAGGTCCCTCAGCACTTGGCCCTTCTGCTGGTCTGGGTCTGTGGTTTGGCTGTTTTCTGTTTCATGCCTGTCATCAGACTGTGAGCTCCTCGAGTCACCTGGTGGTGGGGGTGGGGGGGGGGGGGGATGGAGATACAACACACCACCACTCCACACCCCGTACACGTGGGGCAGGTGGGGAGAAGCTTGCCGGGTCATCGTGCCGCTCGGGTGGCTACCTCCTCGGCAGGCCAGAGGACGGGAGAGGAGCTGAAGATTTGGGTTCCTTGAGGTTGGGGAGGTCACAGGCTCCTGAGGGGAAGGGCGCTTGTACACGTGGCCCAGACAAGCCCACCCTGGGACAGAGGGATAAAACTGAGAAGGGCAAGGAGCAGGGCCTGAGGCTGGACATGGGAGGGGACTCCCCGGCAGGCGTTGAGCTGGCCAAATGCAAAGAGGAGCTTCCCTTCTCATCGAAGGTCCCTGGAGGTGGCCGAGGCTGGCTGCACGCTGGAGGTCTGGGGGCCTGAGGAAAACCAAAGCAAACCAGCTGCCATCGAGTTGATTTTCACTCATGGTGACGCCACGTCTGTCAGTGTAGGACTGTGCCCTGGAGGGTTTTTGGAATGGCTGATTTTTCAGAAGTAGATCCCCAGGGCTTTCTTCCTGGGTGCCTCTGGGTAGACTCAAACCTCCAACCTTTCAGTTAGCCGCTGAGTGCGTTGACCAATGCACCCCCCAGGGACTCCAGAAGCCTGAGGCAAGGTGGGCAAACATGACTTAATAAGCCCAAGCCCCCTTCTCTGGGCTCTGGTTTCTTCATCTGAGAAATCTTACAGGGGGATGTTGAAGTACAACACTGACTGAAGTTCAGACTCGAAAGCTTCCTGCATTCTAGAAGAAACACAAGGGGTGGTTGCTAAAATCACTACCTTATTCTATGTATGACTTTTCTGTTGGAAACCACTTCCTTTGAGTCGGAGGGCCTGTAGCCAGTGCTAGAGGCCACCCCACACCCCTCCTCTAGGAACGCCTGGTGATGCTGCTGCTTCTTTTCACTCCTTACTTGCAGCAAGGAAAAACCGCCCTGGCAGTGGCTGCCCGCAGTAACCACGTCAGCCTGGTGGACATGATCATAAAGGCTGATCGGTTCTACAGCTGGCAGAAGGTATGGGGCCCCGCACCCAGTCTCTCTACGAGGCCAAGCAGGGGCTGCAGATCGGACCTTGAACCCCAGCCCTGACCAATTCTGGGGCCCCTCAGTTTCCTCATGGGTCATAGTCCCTGCCTTACCTACCACCCAAGGTTTGTGAGGCTCTGGAGATGGGTGAGCATCCAAACCACACTGAAACTAGGCTGGCTGAGGCCCTTGCCCCTGTGGAAATACTCCTGGATCCTTCTGTAACTCCTGGTTGATGAGTGAATGAATGAATGCACACGTGAACGAATGAGTGTGTACATGCCTGCATGAATAAAGAGGTGGCAAGTCGCTTCTGCCTCACGCCGCCTGCAGGTGAGTGGAAATGCTGCTTGGGATGTTGTGTTCAGGCAGGGGTGGATTAACCAGTATGCCCAGGATTATAGTAAGCAAGGAACACACAGGTTTACTGTGTTTACTTACTAATGTGTAGTGCACAGTTTCACATGGTGAAAAACAGGTGAAGTTGTGCACTACACATTAGTAAGTAAACACAAATAAGCCCATGTGTACCTAGCTTATTGGGTAATCCATCCCTGTCAGTTCAGGCAGAAGGAAAGCATTCTGGAATCGATTAGTGATGTCTGCTATGGGACTAGGAAAGATGATGACCACATATAAGGTCACCAATTTGCTATTCGTGTTGTAGGCAATTAGAGGTGGGATGGGGGAGTTTTTTTTAGCGTCCTTTGTAGTGGTTAAGAGCTATGGCTGCTAACCAAGAAGTCGGCAGTTCGAATCCACCACGTGCTCTTTGGAAACCCTATGGGACAGTTCTACTCTGTCCCATAGGGTCACTATGCGTTGGAATCGACTAAATGACGACGAGTTTTTGGTTAGTTGTTTTCATAAACAAAAAATAATTTTTGCATTTACTTTGGTTTTTAAAATTAATATTAAGTTACATATGTAAAAACCTAGTCTTCCTTAAACTTTTAAATTCAATTTTATAAATCTTATTCTTTTTATACAGCTGGTAAATCAAGGGAAGCCTTTGACTGACAATTGGTCCCATGTTTAAACTTAATTAAACTACCTTAAACATTTTAAACTAAATGAATAATAGATTTTCTTTCTAAGCACTTCAGATGCTTCCTAAATTCTTAAATTATCATAGTAAATCCAATAAATCAAACCTATAAATAAAGTGAATCTAAAATATCTTAAACATTCCGATATTGTTTACAAACTTAGGATACTTCCCTTACCCCTCAATAAAAAGCACAATTCCAAAGTCAGTTGTGCAATAGCAAATTTCAATAGAAATCATATTATCTTCCACTGATAGGCTGTATTCTCTTTAACATTACAACCCTTTACATATGACAGATTACTCTTAACACCAAAATATCAATACTAAGAGTTTGATTAACTGACTCATCTTTGTACTTAATTGTAAACAGCTTCAGTGTTTAAAGGTCCTCCCCCTACACCCCAGACCAGCTCAATCAGAATCTCTGGGGTGGGATCCTGGCATCAGTACTTCCTAAAGCCTCCCAGATGATTCCAGTGTACAGACAAGGCTGAGAACACTGCCTAAGGGAACAGTTTAATCTCCCCAGGTAAGAGCCCAGCTTGCCTAGTGGTTGACATCATAGATTACTGGCCAGAGACTGTTGACCAGGATGCAAGAATTGTTGTTACAGACACCAGGTGTCTCACCCTGCACCTTTTAACAACCAGAACCCATGGCTTAGGCTCTCCAGGGCTTAATTTATACTATTACATAATTCTTTCGTCACCTCTCATTTTATTGCCTGCTTTGGGTAGAGTTTTTATTTTTTTATTGTGCTTTAAGTGAAAGTTTAAAATTCAAGTCAGTTTCTCATACAAAAATTTATACACACATTGCAATGTGACCCTAGTTGCTCTCCCTGTACTGTGACAGCACACTCCTCCTTTCTACCCTGGATTTCCTGTGTCCATTCAACCAGCTCCTGACCCTGTCTGCCTTCTCATCTCACCTCTGGACAGGAGCTGCCCATTTAAGTCTCATGTAGCACACTCCTCACAAGTATCATTTTATGTCCCATAGTCCAGTCTAATCTTTGTCTGAAGAGTTGGCCTCGGGAATGGTTTCAGCTCTGGGCCAACAGAGAGTCTGGGGGCCATGTCTTCCAGGGTCCCTACAGTCTCAGTCAGACCATTAAGTCTGGTCTTTTTACTAGAATTTGAGTTCTGCACCCCACTTTTCTCCTGCTCCATCAGGGCGGTCATTGGTGGTAGCCAGGTACCATCTAGTTCTTCTGGTCTCAGGCTGATGGAGTCTCTGGTTTATGTCGCCTTTTCTGTCTCTCGGGCTAATATTTTCCATGTGTCTTTGGTGTTCTTCATTCTCCTTTGCTCCAGGTGGGTTGGGACGAATTGATGCATCTTAGATGGCTGCTCGCTAGCTTTTAAGACCCCAGGCACCACTCACCAAAGTGGGATGCAGAACAATTTCTTAGTAAACTTTGTTACGCCAGTTGACTTAGATGTCCCCTGAAAGCGTGACCCCTAGACCCCCACCCCTGCTACTCTGTCCCTCAAAGTGTTTGCTTGTATTCAGGAAACTTCTTAGCTTTTTGTTTAGTCCAGTTGTGCTGACTTCCTCTATAGTATGTGTTGTCCTTCCCTTCACCTAAGATACTTCTTGTCTACTATCTAGTTAGTGAATACCCCTTTCCCTCCCTCCCCACCCTCGTGACCATCAAAGAATGTTTTCTTCTGTGATTAAACCTTTTCTTGAGTTCTTGTAATAGTGGTCTCATACAGTGTTTGTCCTTTTGCTACTGACTAAATTCACTCTGCATAATGCCTTCCAGATTCCTCCATGTTATGAGATGTTTCATGGATTCATTGTTGTTCTTTATCGTTGGGTAGTATTCCACTGTGTGGATACACCATAATTTATTTATCCATTTGCCCATTGATGGGCACCTAGGTTGTTTCCATCTTTTTGCTATCGTGAACAGTGCTGCGATGAACATGGGGGTGCATATATCTATTTGTGTGACGGCTGTTATTTCTCTAGGATATACTCCAAGGAGTGGGATTGCTGGATTATATGGTACTTCTAAGGGTAGAAAGAGTTCTTTAACCTCACCCAGGTTGCTTTACTCAGAATGCTCCTTAGAAGCAAGGATGGCGAGACTATGTCTCACATACTTTGGACGTGTCATCAGGAGGGATCAGTCCCTGGAGAAGGACATCATACTTGGTAAAGTAGAGGGTCAGCATAAAAGAGGAAGACCCTCAGCGAGATGGACTGACACAGTGGCTGCAACAATGGGCTCAAGCATAACAGCGACTGTGAGGATGGTGCAGGACCAGGCAGTGTTTCGTTCTGTACTACATAAGGTTGCTATGAGTTGGAATCGACTTGATGGCGCCTGACAACAACAACCACAGGTTGCTTGACTACTTGCTGGAATTCAACAAGTCTAGTGCCTGATTCTTGAGCTGCCTGGTTTGGGCCACAGCTGCTGAGGCAACTCTGTTGATATCCATGCTGTTAGAACACAGAAAAAAGGGAGGCATCTGACCAGAGGAAGTGGGAAAGCTTCTGGGAAGAGGCAGCATGTGGGTGGTCTGTCGACTGTGGCAATGGGGCTGAGGGGCAGGGAGGTGAGGAAAGGAATTCGGGGTGGAGGAACAGTGTGAGCAGCTTGGGTTCCAGAGGTCAAGGCAAGGCATGGAGTCAGAAACCCAGACCCATGACAACTCCAGTTCCAGGCTGCCCAGTAGAGTCCGTAATAGGTAACAGGGCCCTGACCTTGCATTGCCCACATCCAGGATCATGAGGGTGAGCTGGGCAGGGATTTCCCCCAGACGGCTTCTGCACCGTTGGGATCTGCCCCACAGGACCACCTCTCATACAGGGACCCCAGTGACCCTTCTGGAAAGAGCCTGACCTTTAAGCAGGACCACTGGCAGGAGACGCAGTAGCTGCGCTCCGTGCTGTGGCGACTAGCCTCCAGGCACCTGCGGCCCGATGAGTGGAAGAAGCTGGCATATTCCTGGGAGTTCACTGAGGCCCACGTCCACGCCATCGAGCAACAGTGGACAGGTACCACCTTGCCTCTTCCCATCCCAGATCACCCAGCTGAGCAGAGGAGTGGGGGTGCTTGAGGTGTGTTCAGTTTTCTCTGCTTCTGGGGAAAGAGCCTATGTAACCCACAGCCCAGCCACATTAAGCTCCCGCCGTCACCACGTACTTATCTGAAGGCCTTGGGCTAGGTGCTGGGGTATAAAGAGCGGCAGCATGGCTCGATGTTTGAGACTCTGGGCCCAAGTCCGACAGAGCTGTGCGGGAGGCAGGTCTACCCGTGCCCAGCTGTGTAGCTTCCAGCAGGTCACTCATCTCCTCATTGTAGTACATCAGGTGTGTAACACAGTGCCCGGCACCATACGTGAGAACAAGTCAAACAGGCTCCACCGTCTACAAGCCCACAATCTGGACCAAAGAAAACTGCCCTGTCAAGGGTAGCACCATGAGTAAGTGCCTGCTAAGGGCCCAGAGCAAGACACAGAAAGTCAGAGGAGGCAGTGAATGGACTTACCTGGACCTGGTGGCTGTCCCCGAGCACATCTGTGTCCCTACCACGGGGAAAGCCCAGCCTGGAGAGCAGACCTAGTCACAGAGTTTAATAACAAGTTAACCCCTACCACGGGGTTAACTGTGAGCAACAGTTTCCAAACATGGCTGCACACTGAAATCATTCAGGAAGCTTTAACAAACCTCAGTACCTAGGTTGCACCCAGACCCAAGTACATTAGAACCGCTGGGGGTGGGACCAAGGTGTCAGTATTTGTATTTCCAAAGAGCAGTCAATGTTGAGGCCCCCTAGTGCAGAGGGAAGAACATAGCCAGCTCTGTCTCTGACTGAGCAGTTTTCTCACTTGTAAACTAGGGCCAATAGCATGCAACCCCCAAAAAACAAAAACCCATTGCCATTGAGTTGATTCTGACTCACAGTGACCCTATATGACAGGGCAGAACTGCCCCGTATGGGTTCCAAGGAGCGATTGGTGGATTCGAACTGATGAGCTTTTGGTTAGCAGCTGAACGCTTAACCACTGTGCTACCAGGGCTCCAGTAGCATGCAAAGCATAGATTATTTGAGAAGCCAAATAGATAAAGTGTACAATCGTGGGCATCATGGTACCACAGAAATGAATGCGAGTTCTCTCTTCAGAGTGACATTAATGGGGCGATGGTGAATGTTTAGGAGAAGGCCTGGGGTTGCGGAGGTTCTAGACGCCCTGACACAAAGCCCCTGCCCCACCCCGTCTGAAAGGCAGCTCCTCTCTTCCCCTCACCCACCTCCGGGCTGAGTTCCGAGGCATCCAAGAGGGCCTGGTGAAGGGAGCCCTGGCCTCTCTCTCCCACCTGGGCATTCAGGAGGCCATGGGGTGGCATAGACACGGGCTCAGACCTGGCTGTGGCGAGGTGGCCTGGCTTCCGCCTTCTCCCTCCCTTTCTCCCCTCATCATCCTCAGGCACCAAGAGCTACCGGGAGCACGGCCACCGGATGCCGCTCATCTGGCTGCATGGTGTGGGCGTAGGCGGCGAGAACCCCAGCAAAGCGCCGTTCCAGGGCCTTGTGGCCATTGGCAGGAGGGACCTGGCTGGTAAGAGTGTGTTCAGCCCGGCTCCCGCTCAGGGCAGTGCCGGGCCCCAGCTAGGGTTGGGGAGCCACATGGCCCCACTGGAATGGGCTTGGCCCATGAAAGGCTTCTCAGACCACAGTGCAGTGAGGCCAACTCTTGACTTTCTACATTCCTGGTCCTAGTCCTGCTGCCAGAGCCCTGGTGGCATAGTGGTTAAGAGTTTGGCTGGTAACCAAAAGGTCAGCAGTTCAAATCCACCAGCTGCTCCTTGGAAACTCTATGGGGCAGTTCTACTCTGTCCTGTAGGGTCACTATGAGTCAGAATTGACTCGACGGCAATGGGTAGTCCTGCCTCCTGGAACTGAAGGTAGAGCCTTGGGCAAACCACAGTGCCTCTGGCCTTGGTTTTCCCATCTGTGCAGTGGGGGTGTTGGCCCAGATGATCCCTATGACCGTCACAGCCCCAGAGCCACTGACAGCTCTCTATGCTTTGATTTTTTCTTTCTTTCTTTCCAGTTTGCAATAAAGCTGGAACAGCCTTCAGACTTCTTCACAATATTTTAAATATTTTTATATTTTCACAAATATTAAGATATATGGACCAGTTCTAGATTAATATGACTTGAACCAGTCAGAATTGGTTAAGTAAAATGTCCGAGGCCACCAAAACCCATGAGTCTGCTGATCAGGAAGGCCTGATTTGGGACTCAAGGCATACCGTGGAGCCATCAGGGAGACAGGATAAAGTGTCCCTCACTAATCTCTCATTGAGAACAAAATTGGCTCGTGATGAAAAAGCCGTCAACATCGTAATGGTCATCAACATGGTGCATTATGGGGCAACCACAGGTGAGCCATTAGATAGTCATTGCTGGTTAGGAAGCTTACCTTAGTGATGAGGTAGCAAGGAAACACAGCATACGATTGAGGGGGGAAGGAAGAGCCCCCAGCCTGGTGGCTACTCCACAGCTGCCACAGGCATGAGGAACAAAGACAGACTGCATGGGGACAAGGGCAGGAAATCTAAGGGTGGGGGAATTAGGGGTGATTTTTTTTTCCCTTTTTCCAAAATTTTCTTCAGTATTGTTGTTGCATCTTTTAGCACAGTCTCTGGCAGGCCATTAAAACATAATACCTGCCCTGAGAGGGAGAGTTCAGGCAATACAAGGCACCAGGACTCTTGTCTTTTGCAGAAAGCATCAGGAAGAAAGCCAGTGCAGACCCCAGTGCTCCCAGGAGGTGCACAGCCAGGTAACTGGAGGGGGCCGACCTGGGACCTCAGAATGTGGGGCCACCTAAACAGTTGATGACCACCATTTTAAGGGCTTAAAAAAAACCCAAACAACAAAACACTGTTAACCAACCTCCAGCTGCTTCCACTGAAACAGCGGGTCATGCAGTGACCAACAGGCAAATGTTTGTAATCTTCTGTACAGTCATTGGTCCAGGGGCCTGGTTGGTTTACAGCTAATCCCTTCCCACCGCTCTAAGCTCACCTTCACCTCCATCACCTCCTCAGAGCCTCACAGCATTCCCTTGAGGGGCGTGGGGCATTTTGACAGAGAGGACACCGAGGCTCAGAGAGGATAAGCAGCCTGCCCAGGTTACACCGCTAATCAGTTGGTAGGACCAGCTTCCATACCCACCATTCCTCCCACCCCATGCTGACAAAAGGGCTCCAACCATCACTTGCAGAATGGACCCCGCTTACCTCGTTCACTAAGGAGCCCTGGGGGAGCACCGGTTAAGAGCTCTGCTGCTAAGGAAGGTTGGCGGTTGAAACCAGGGCTTCAAACTGGTTAATTCCAGGAGGCGATTTAACATTACCTATCAAAATGATACATTTTGGTTAATTCCAGTTTGACCCCCAGCTAAGAATTTGCATTTCCACTCCAGATATACTGAATCAGAATCTACATTTTAACAAGATCTTGTGTTCAGATAAGAATCACCTGTATGCATAATGTATACATAAGAACCTACATTTTAATAAGATCCCTGGGTGATTCTTGTGTAATACATCGTCTGTACACACAAGAATCACCTAGGGATCTTGTTACATTTTAACAAGATCTTATGTGTACATAAGAATCACTTGGGGATCTTATTAAAATGTAGATTCTGATTCAGTATATCTGGGGTAGAAATGCAAATTCTCAGCAGGGGGTCAAACTGGAATTAGCCACGGTTCAAACCTACCCAGAAGCTCTGGGGGAGAAAGACCTGGTGATCTGCTCCCATAAAGATTACAGCCTAGAAAACCCTATGAGGCAGTTTTCTTCTTGGCCACATGGGGTCACTATGAGTTACAACTCACTCGAAGGCACCTAACAACACCTCATTCACTACTTTTCTGAATGCTGGGCCACAACTGTTCGTCTTCACACACTTATTTGTATATTTTGACAGCTCCAGGAGGCATGCAATTTCATTTTTACCTCCTGTCTTACAATTTTAAAAAAGTTTAACTTTTCATTTTGAAATAATTTCAAACTTACAAAAAAGTTGCAGAAACAGCACAAAGAATTTCTGAATACCCTTCACAGAGCTTCCCCAGATGTTCACATCTTACATAACTACAATTTTCAACCACAAAACAGTAACATGAATACAAGACTGTTAACTAATCTACAGACTTAATTCAGATTTCATCAGTTGAGCCATTAATGTCCTTTCTCCAATCCAGGATCACACTTTGCATTTAGTTGTTATTTTTCTCATTTTTAATAGCCCCATACAAAGAGTTTCCTCTCTGGAGCAGTGCTATGCAATAGAACTTTCTGCAGTGATGGGAATATTCTATATGTGTGCTGTTCAATATGGTAGCCACTAGCCACATATGGCTACTGAGCATTTGAAATGTGTCCAGGGGGACTGAGGAATGGAATTTTTAATTACATTAAATTTTAACTGTTTAGAAATTAAACAGCCACCTGTGGTCAGTGGTGACTGTACTGGACGGCACAGCTAGTCCAGAGCTTTGCTTCCAGATACTGGACAAGCACAAGTTACTGCGGGTCTCAGCTGCGTCAGTAAGAAAGTGCGGTTCCAGGGATATATCCTGTGACCCTTAGGAAGCTTCTTGGTTTCACAGAATGTGGAGACTGTCTGTGCAAGACAACCCAGAAGTTCTGCCTGGAAGCTGTTTCTAACTTGACCTTTCCTGCTGTGGCCTTGGTGGCACACTGGTTAAGACCTTGGCTGCTAACCAAAAGGTCGGGTAGTTCAAATCTACCAGCCGCTCCTTGGAAACCCTATGAGGCAGTTCTGCTCTGTCCTGTAGGGGCACTGTGAGTCAGAATCGACTCGATGGCAGTGGGTTTGGTTTTTGGTTTGCTGTGGCCAGCTTAGGATCCCACAGCTTAGAAAAACTCCCCACACAGTTAGCAGTTGGGCTGGAGACCTGGAAAGGAGACAGAACAACAACCATTAGGGCTGGAAAGGGCTTCAGCTATCACACATTGCTGGTGGGAGTGCACCGTGGTACCGAACTCTTCCAGGAGGCAATGTAACATTACCTATCAAAATTATAAATACATTTACCATTTGACCCAGAAATCCCCCTTATAGGAGTTTATCCTCCAGATAAACCTGCACACACACAAAATGACAGATACACAAATTTATTTATCACCACATTGTTTGAAAAACCAAAAGATGGGAAACAACCCAAGTGACCACCTACGGGGGCTGGTGAACTAAAGTATGGTCCGTCGGCACAGCGGAACACTCACTATTCAGCAGTGAAAAAAGAACGAGGATGCTTTCTAAGTATCGTTATGGAAAGATTGTTACGTGAAAAAAAAACCAAGGTGCACAACAGTGCATAGAGTATGCTACCAATTGTGTAAGAAAGGGAGGAAGTAATATATTCATATTTGCTTATACTTGCATAAATAAACATTAGACCACCTAAGATACATCTACTGGTCCCATCCTGGCTGGAGCAAAGGAGGATGAAGACGACCAAAGACACAAGGGAAAGATTAGTCCAAAGGACTAATGGACCACAACTACCACAATCTCCACCAGACTGAGCCCAGAACAACTGGATGGTGCCCGGTTACCACTAACGACTACTCTGGCAGGGATTACAATAGAGGGTCCTGGGTAGGGTGGAAGAAAAATGTAGAACAAAATTCAAATTCACACACACACACACACACACGCACACGCACGCACACAAAGACCGGGCTTGCTGGTCTGACAGACTGGAGAAACCCTGAGAGTCTGGCCCCTGGACACCCTTTTAATTCAGTACTGAAGTCACTGCTGAAGTTCAACCTTCAGCCAAGATTAGACAGGTCTGTAAGGGCCAACAATAACATATGTGAGAGATGTGCTTCATAGTTCAATCATGTGTACAGGACTAATGGGCACACCAGCCCAAAAGCAAAGACCAGAAGGCAGGAAGAGACAGGAAAACTGGACGAATGGATACAGGGAACCCGGGGTGGAGAAGGGGAGAGTGTTGACACATCGTGGGGTTGGCAACCAATGTCACAAAACAATTTGTGTATTAACTGTTTAATGAGAAACTGATTTGCTCTGTAAACTTTCACCTAAATCACAATTAAAAAAAAAAATACCATTAGAAAGAGGCGTAAGCAACTAATATAAAGTGTTTCTCTGGGGTGGGAGGAGCTGGGGAGCAGTTGGACTGGGACAGGGGTGGGAGAAAGAGTTCTCAATGAGACCTTTTTACACCGTTTTGATTTTTGGAATATGTAAGTATATTACTTGCTCAAAACTAAAAGTATACAACGTTCTGGAAAAGGTAAAACTATAGAGACAGTGAAAAGATGAGTGGTTGCCAGGGGTTCAGTCTGGGGGGAAGGGAAGGGATGCACCGTTGGAGCACAGGGCAGTTTTAGGGCAGTGAAACTGTTCTACTTGATCTTGTAATGGTGGACACATGACATTATACATTTGTCAAAACCCACGGACTGAACGGCACAAAGAGTGAACCCTAATGCACACTATGGACCTTAGTTAATACCCACACGCCCGCCCACCCGCCAACCAACCAAGCAACCAACAGTTGCCTTGGAGCTGATTCTGACTCATGGCGACCCCATGTGTGTCAGAGTAGAACTGTGCTCCAGAGGGTTTTCAGTGGCTAGATTTTTTGGAAATAGATTGCCAGGCCTTTCTTCTGAGGTGCCTCTCGGTCGATCTGAACCTGGAACTTTTCAGTTAGCAGGGTTAGCATGTTAGGGTTAGCAGTCAAGAGCTTAATGATTGCACTACCCAGGACCCCTTAAACCAAAACCCAAAACTGTTGCTGTCAAGTCGATTCCGACTCAGAGCGACCCTATCGTTAACGATAAGGACCCCTTAGTTCATCAGCTGTAACAAATGTACCACAAGAATGCAAGATGTTAATAATAGGAGAAACTGTGCATAAGGGGGCAAGGGATTATATGGGAACTCTTTGTACTCTGTACCATTTTTCTGTAAACCTAAAACTGTTCTAAAATTTAAAGTCTTATTAAAAAAAAAAGTAGGAAACCCTGGTGGCATAGTGGTTAAGAGCTCAGCTGCTGACCAAAAGGCTGGCAGTTGGAATCCACTGGGCGCTCCTTGGAAACCCTATGGGGCAGCTCTACTCTGTCCTATAGGGTCACTATGAGTCAGAATTGACTCAACAGCAACGGGTTTCAGGTATTAAAAAAAAGTACACTTACAAAAAGGAAACAAAGAAAAAGAGGTTTTGAAACCAACCCATTTTACCAGCAGTGACCTGATGATCCGAGAGATTGCATATCTTGCCTGCAGCCTCGCAATGTGCAGTGGGATTCAGATCCCCAGGCGTGGTGCTGTTAAACCCTTCCTTCCCCGCATGTTCAGGGTAGAGGTGGAAAACCCTCCTCTTGGACCTGTTCCGTATTCTGTACCACATGGGACTTAGATCATTTATCTAGATGAGTTCTGCATTTTTTTTCAAGACAGAGAAGAAAATCCTTAAAAAAGTTGAAATGTT